AGGCCGGCACGAAGGCACAAGACCTACGAAGCTAGTCTTCACGCAGATAGCGACAGACTAGTCCCAATGACCAAGTTATACATTAGCAATCGAAGAGAGATACAACACTATGGTCACTCACCTAGTCCCAATGACCAAGAGGTCGAGATGGGGACTAGGGAGCGCCTAGGGGGGTCCTTATATACTAGAGGGGCTGCTTAGCAACCAAGGACAAGGCGCGAGAGCGAGGCAGTGAAGATGACAAAGGGGGAACAAAGGGCGAGAAAGAAAAGGCAAGGGCATGGCGATCACGGGAACGTAGCATGCGGCTGTGGGAACGTATCTACAGTGTCCAAACTGGGATGAGCTAGGAAAGGAAACGGTCCGGAAATGGAAGGTGGGCGTCAAAGGGAAGGGAATGGGCGGCAAAAAGGGGCGTCTGTCCAACGTCCGTGACAGTTGTTCATCAGTACGTATTTACCCCCTCCTGTTTATCTCATATATCTCAGCGTCGACTGCCCCCTTACTTCTACGAATCGCCAACTTACTCGTGGCTGACCGACCCAAACAGCCGATCACGACGCGATGGTCAGCAAGTTCACCGCAGCGATGGCGAAGATGGCCGTGCTCGGCCAGGACGTGAACTCGCTCGTCGACTGTTCTGAGGTCATCCCGACGCCCGCTACGCTCGCCACGAAGGTCGCGGTCATCCCGGCGGGTTTGTCGTTGGACGACATCGAGGCGTCCTGCTCCGAGACGCCCTTCCCCACCATTTCAGTCGCCCCAGGTGCGGAGACATCCGTTGCTGCTGTGTAAGTTCTCTTGTGTCTATGTGTGCAATCTGTGATCGCTAGACTCACGTTGACGCTTGCCGTGACAGCCCCTCGTAGATGTGAGACTTCTCTGTGGCGCATTCCCCCGTCCCCAAATCAGTACTCATTACTGCGACCACCGTTTCGTTATCCAACTGCATTTGCTGTCGATCCTTCATACTTATTGGGCGTGGATGCATTCTATATCTTCTATACTAAGCGGTAACTAGCTGGTGTGTGTTCATAATTTCAATGCTATTGCACACCGAACTTGAAAAAACAAATTGCGGCATTATCCATGTGTACACATTGTCTCAAAGGGTTACGACATCCATGCATCCATGCAAAAGAATCGTGGTGTTCTAGATGATGTCTACGATGTCGTACAGTCTGATCTCATGCCCTCCGCCAGGCTCCTCGGATCGACGACCCATATCGCTGCTTTCTCCACTACCGCTCCAGCACCGTCGCCCTCCACACTGTCTCCCTCGGCATTTGCACCTTCTACCTGCCCATGCTCGTCGCGCCCGTGGCTCCATCCGTACCCACCTTCAGCAGCGCGGATATCCCGGAGGATCGCCTTGACGCTCGACTTGTTTGCAGTCAGCGTCGTCCAGCCCCGCGCGGCGCCCCAAAGCATGCTCTGCACAGTGTGCGCCGTGAGACGTGGGTTCGCCTTCGTGACCACCGCGCGCTCGATCGTCTCCTCGGCCAAGTCGGCGCTTTCTGGCGCTGGTGTCGATGCAGACTCGCCGCACTGATGGTCGTCGCCGCGTTCGTGACTAGGTGGGCTCGTGGGAGGCGAGGAGGCTCTAGAGGAGGGCGTGGTTCGCGGATCGGCGATGGTTTCTTGTGCGAGGATGTCGCGGCAGGTCCGAGTGAGGAGCTTGAAGAACGGAGAGAGGGGCCTGCCATCGTCCGACAAAGACGGCGGCTCCAGCGTGTCGTCCGGCACCGGCGCCTCGAAAACGCGGACGGGGATGAGCGGGAGAAACGCGTGCGGGGAGCGCGAGTCCTCCCAGTACCTGTCTTGCGCTTCGGAAAGTGGCACGCCAGCAGCAGGGAAGAGCGCCGCGACGCGACGCCTCTCGTTCGGGCCGCCGATCTTGGACAGGACGATGCGTAGACAGCGGTCGCGCGCCTCGGGCGTCGTCCAGAACTCCACGTTCTCGAGCCCCGGCGAGGCCAAGGCGTTGAGGCGGTCTCGCAGCTCTTGCAGCAGTCCGCGTCCCATCTCTTGGAGGGCTTGGTTCGCGAGGGCGCGCGAATGCGCCCCTAGGCCGGTTTCGCCCAGGCGGCTCTCGTCTACGTCTATCCCCTCAACAGGGCCTTTCGTCGCTTCCAGCCGCTTGCGCTTCCACTCGCGGTACTGGGCAGAGGGGACGTATCGCGCGTCGGCCTCCGCTGGGGAAGTCGGGAGGGGTGAATGGGTGATGTCGGACACTAGTGCAATCAGGATAGACAAGTCCAAATTGACGCGGACCGTCGGCTCGAGGTGGCGGACGGGGGGAGCCACGACACGGGGTAGCTGCGCGGGATCGCGCTCTCCCAGCTCGACGTCGATGCCCATGTCGCGCAGGAGGTCGACTGTACGTGCTATTCGAGGGTCATATTCTCTTGCATCGGTTGGGGTCATATTGAGTCGCGTGAAGCGTAGTGTGATGCTTGGAATAGTGGAGGTGCCCGCCAGTGGGTTTCGCCGCGCGGCATCGAGGAGAGAACGACCAACTCGAAGTATCGAGTTGTCGAAAGTCTTCTGTGCAAGGCTCGGGCGTTCACCCTCTCCGTCTTCGTCCTCGGAATCTGTCAGGTAGGAATCAATCTCCCTGAATTCGGCAAGCAGGCGCGAGTTTTTAGTGCTGTAAATGGGGAGGGAGGTCAACCTCTTACGTTATACAAGCTGCTTGGAGGGAAGACGTACGTATTGACTCGAATCCAACGTCTGCCGCCATCTGCAACGATATCCACCTTCACGCCTGGAGGTTTATGCGAGCCACGGCGCGGGACGTGAGCGGGCTTGTCCTCTTCGAGGAATGTCCGCCAAATCGTCACGATCGGTGGAGGTGCGTACAGTACTTCGTTCCAAACCGATATCAAGTAGGGGGCGTTGGTTGACAAAGAGGGAGCAGTAGCGCATGCAGAATCGTCCAGGAACTACTGGTAGAATGGTGGGGAGATAGTACGCCATGAGCCTGAAAGCGTCTCAGGATGAACTTACCTTCTCCAAGACATCTAGGTCACGCTTGACAGCATCTCTCAACGCGCGCAACCCATGCACCGCATCTCGATGGGAGTGAAATTCCTCGTTTGTCTCACCATTAAGATCTATCGAAGAGTCGAGGATTGGTGGTTTCGCTGAGAGCGGAGCAGTTCCGAAGGCAACCATCGCGGCATGAATCTGGCGAAGTTGTGTTCGTAGACCTTGCAGTTCGGGATGATGCATGGTGGATATCTTCAATATCCAAACGTATTATCAATCGATTTAGAGCATAGAAGACAAGTGAGTTGATGCTGGTATGAGGCTAGGGCAAAACGAGGTGAAATGATGTCTACACTTCCGGTCCGACTTTCTCGGACTATATAACTATGTAAGGATGCTAGGGTTATGGTTCCTGAACAACGCAGCATTGGCAGACATCGTACAACTCGAAGTACACTCTTGCGTCTTGAACGCCTCCCATCCACCGCCGAAGTGACGAGATTAAGTACGCATCAGCTTTGCTTCTTCACCATTCCCATCGCCTCTCTCTGGAACACCTAACGCGTACAATATCACCCACCAAGTTGGCGGACGGTTTCTCATATCTTCAGGTGTCTGGTATAGCTTGAGTAGCCTACAACGAGGTATGCAAACCTCTGGGATATCGGGCCAGGGAGGTACTAGCATGACCCCAGAAGCTACGACCCATAACGTATTTCATGGATATCTCCCTCCCTTCCTCTCCAATACATTTCAGACTTCGCACACTTCACTTGCATCCTGGACAGTACATATGGGTGAAATATGAAGAAAATCGGTGGAGGTTTGCATTGAGCATCGCGGAATTACACGTCTGACCCCAGAAGCTACGGAAAAGCGCCCATAGATTGTCATGGATGGTCACAATGCCGAAGACTGCCGATTCAAACACCGCTGTTATCAGTCGTTTGATAGCGAAGTTGGCCGGGGCAACATTGTCGAAGCGCTCAGATTGAAAGTCAGCTTTATCTCGGTCAGTGGCTGAATGTCACGCTCGAGAGACCTCTTCCTATCTTTCGAATACTGCAACCCGGAACCCTTCGGAGACTGAACAAGAAAGTTTATTGAGAATGTTCAGAACACTTTGCGAAGTTACAGAAAGATCGGCGCTGCAGATCTTTTTGTGGCAGCTCACCAAGGTCAGTAAACCCTTGAAACCCTACTGAGATTGACTTGTATCGGGAGCAAATCCCTTCCGATTTCCTTCTTTGTTTTTTACAATGATATTTTTGAAGTACATCTTCTCGCGTGTAACCCGTGCACACTTTTTGACAGGGAAATGCGAGAACTGGAGGCGTGTCAGTAGCTTCTGGGGTCAGGCGCTTAATCCGTAGCTTCTGGGGTCACACTAGTATCAGACCTCCCAATCCCGCAAGTGATTGGCTGTTCGCCTGGGACATCAGTATGGGCGCATCGGATTTTGATGGCTAGAACAGTGCCACAGACTGAGTTTGTACTTGAGCAAACTTTGAGGAGCTCGAAGAAGCGAACAGTTCCTTCTCTGAGGAGGTCGCAATTGAGGAGACAGCGTTGTCCAACTGACGGAGAGCATTGTGCAGGCGCGGCGGGCGAGGAGGGTGGGGGACGCGCGACACGGAAGACCACCGACGCTGGCGCATCAGCGCGCACTTTTTGATGATCGAAGTTCCCATTGTGGCGCTTGATGGGGGCTGCGCGAAGAGGACCCGCCATTTATACTCCCTCCCCTCCCTCGCATAAAGCCTCGTTCGCGCGATAAATACAGACGGCCTCCCTTCTTAGGGGAGGAGGTGTAAGCAGTGCCTAACCCAAACCCAAACCCTAACCGAACCCGAACCCGAACCCAAACCCGAACCCTAACCGAAACTCTAACCGACGCGTATCCCTCAGACCGCGTGGGTTGGGAGGTTTGATACCTCCCTGGCCCGATATCCCAGAGGTTTGCATACCTCGTTGTAGTCTCTACATAGCTTCTATATGCTGACAATGTACCCCTGAGTATTTGTTGTGGCTCACTGCATGTGTTTCGACTTCGCGGCTGCGTAGAGCGCCACGTCCCACCTATGCAGTCGCGAAGTCGACCGGCTCTCATCTGACCCTCAGGAGCCTTGCCACTCATCGGAAGAATGCGGTTCAGCACACGCCTCATGTGGGAGTATAGTCGACATCCTCCGATGAAGACGTCTACCTCCTAATCAGTGAAACAGCTTCCTCCCGTTCTGAACTGCGCCTTGTACCGTTCTCTGGACGAGAACAAGACACGAGCAGTCTCGTCAGTCAGGATTCAAATTGACGACGTCGGAGCCAATACGACTCTTGTGGCCAGTATGTAGTACATACACGGAGGTTATGACACGGAGTATTCTGTCTGACGACCTCCCGAGAAAGGACAGCTTGCTCTCTCACATTTTGCAACCGACGAATATTTGGAACTGGTCTCCGTGATAACATAGTATGTCCACTCGACTGCGGCAGGAACACACTCAACCCGCTCTGCGAATCATCAGCTTCTCTCAGGGACGGATAGCCTGAGCCCTCGGCCACTTGTCGAAGTTGCCCGCCGAACGCGTCATCAGGATATACTCCGTGCCGTCGCCCTACAGTCCGACTCAGCACCCATCCCATGCTGCCACGCAAACACGGAAGAAGACCACTCACCACCATCGTGCTGGGGAACCCCGCGTCGAACGGCAGCACGCCCTCCAAGAACTTGATGTGCTCCTCGGTGAGCTTCACGTCCAGCGCCTCGATGTTCGCCTGCAGCTGCTCCGTCTTTCTGCACCCGATGATCGGGAACACATAGGGAGTCTTCTGCATCACGTACGCGATCGCGACCGCCTGGATGCTCTTCGCGCCCACCTGCTTCTGCACCTCCTCGAGTGCCTTGCACAGAGTGCGCTCGCTCTCCGTGCGCTCCCATCCGGGGCGGAAGATTGTGCGCCCGAGCTCGCCCGTCTGGCGGCGGCGCTCTTCCTCTTCGTCCGTGCGGATCCTGCCTGCCGCGAGGACGTTCCAGGGCGCCAGGGCAAGCCCTGCGAGGAATTAGAGTTCATGGTTCAGTATTTGATGTGGAGTCGAGCGGGGGACGCATACGTGCCTTCAGCACGGGCCATGGGGATGATGTCGCGCTCGAAGTCGCGCTGGAGGATGCTCCACGCGCCCTGATAGATGACGAACGGAGTCTTGCCCATGAGTCGTGCATACAGGTTCGCCTTCGACACGATCCACGCTGGGGTGTCCGAGATACCCTGGGAATGCCGACGGTGAGCCGTCTGCGGCAACGCGGCTTGCGAGAAGTCGATGTCGGGCTAACCAAGTACAAAACCTTCCCTGACGTCACGAGGTTGTGGAGGCCGTTCATAACCTCTTCCACGGAGGTGTCCCAGTCCCACTGTGATGAAGTATCCGATAAGCCTATCGCATCCGACACGGCAACCCGGCGACAAGACTTACCCAGTGGACGTAGAGGATGTCGATGTAGTCAGTGCGCAACTTCTTCAGCGACGCCTCGACGGAGATGTGCATCGCCTTGAGGTTGTTGCCCGTGTAGTGCACCTTTTGCTTGATGTCCTCCGCGCTCCTCTTGAAATTAGTCGTGTACTGTTCGTATCCCGCGACCCAGCGTCAGTCCGAACATCGTGTAGTCATGCGACAAGCCCGGTCCGTCCTGGGACGCAGGCCTGCAGAGTGCCTACCTTGGTCGCGATGACCATCTGGTCCCGGATGCCGCGCTTCTCCATCCACTCTCCAATAAACTCCTCAGAGGACTCGTCCTGATAGGCGTTCGCGGTATCGATGAAGTTGCCCCCGGCCTCGTAGAACGCATCGAGGAGCGCGAAACTCGACTCTTTATTCATCGCGCCCATGCCGTATTTCTCCCACTTGTCCCCGATGCTCATCGCCCCGAAGCAGATGGGGGAGACACGCACGCCGGCGAGCGGCGAGAGCTGGCGATAGCGGCCGAGCTTGGTCGGGGGCTCTGGGGCGGGGAACCAGATTCTGGACATAGTGCGCGAGGCTGTTCGATTGTGAGGATAGGACTCTTAGATCCACTGAAGGTCTGAGGCCGTTCTGAACATCTGCGGGGCAATATATATATGGCTTGCATGGGACGCATTTGGTCAGGTGTATGACATCGAGAAGCTTCTTGCCCCGCATCGTAGTCCGATGCACCTTAGTAAGGCCATTTGAGTTCGAATCGATGGACGGTTGCAGTTCAATGCGGGCGACGTCGGGGGCGAAGGGCAAGTCAAGCACAACCTGCGAGCCCGAGCATACATCAGTACTTGTAGCCCGCGAGATCTACCTTGCCATAAATGGATGCCATCTCTGCTATCTCCAGCTTACATACGCCATGGTTGTGTATGATTTACGCCGCGGCACAACAAGCCTTCCTCCGACACACTACTGCTCATCACAGCCTATAACTACAGTGCGACATATCCATAGCTTCAGCTACATATAGCTCAGCTCGTTCTTACAAACTGGCCAGAAGTTTCGACTGCCGATGCTGACAGAATGTACTAGAACTTCTTTCAACCTCCAGCCGAGAACGCAAAAGGCGGGGTGTCGAACGGGTATCTGTCACCATAGCTAGCTTCCGATGTCTTCAAGCTCTGACACCTAGAAGCAACTTACGGAACGTCTCGACCATACCTTCGCCGACGGGAGCCAGGAAGTGCGACAGTTTTCAGGTAAGTAACCTACGCCTTCGCCTTCTCATGTCGTCTACGAGATCTCTGTCTCGCTCAGCGTCGGTGGACCTCTTCCCTCCAGAAAAGCGAAGGAGTGAATGGATCAGAACGAACACCGAGGGAAAATGCAATCGAGTGCGCGCCAGTCACCTCTGAGATGCGTCCATGAGCAGCCGCTTGCCCCGAGGATCTCATACCGGAATACGTCACAGCACGATGTCAGCCGCTCACCTATCGATTGTTGGTTGGGCACATCTCAAGTTCGTATCGCTGAGGGGTGCGGTACGGTGGATCATCAACTAACAGCGAAGACACCCTCGCGTCTCAGAAGAATCTGGGGTTAGTTGGCTGTGGACAAACGGCAAGACGATGCAATTCGCTCGGAAGCCTGAGATTGTTGAATGTACTGCTCCACGCTCAACGACATCTCATCACGTCACTCCGCATCCGTTCAATTGGAACATCTGGTGAATTCCAGGTAGATTGAGTTTGGAATCAACTCGACAAAAGCCCCGATAGCCCTGTCTCGGCGAGTACTTTCCCAACGGCGATTGTACGGCAGGTTTGTCCGGTTTCAGTGAAGGACTGAACGAGCTAAGAGAAAAGCTTCGAAGCTCTGCGTAATCGCATCATCTCAATGAACGGAATGCATAATTACGCAATCACGAATGACACTCACGCGAATGTCCAAAGATTTTGCGGGTTGTTGTAAGTGTCGGCAGTGTAAGGGAACCTGACTGTAGATTGGCAGAGCCATCAGAATGCCGCACAGCTGCCGCAAATCGAAACTTACTGCGCGCAGGCTCGGACTTGTACTCTGTTAATGTTCTGTCAGGAAGCATATCTCCTTTCATTGACGATGTCCCACTCACCAATAGGTGTGGTCTCGTCAAGGAAGCTGTACGCTTTACGGGTATAACCGTTAGTTCGCTGCAGGAGTGGCGGTTCAGGAACAGCTCACCAATGCGCCAGTTGTGACTAGACGATCGAGTAGATGATTAAGAAATGCACGGCGGTGGTTGTGAGTTGACTTACCGGAAGTCGGCGTTGACGAGGCTGTCGTGAAACAGGTCAGTCCCTTACATTCACGTCCACCTCGCGCAGCTACTCACAGATCAGGAGGAGCGAGCGGATCCTATATACGCGTCAGCCTCATCCACCCTAGAACCACAGAAGAGGTTACTTACATCCTTCAAGTTCGCGGTCTTAATTTCTGAGTCGATATCGAACCACTCTAAGACCTGGTTGCCGGCCATACCTTACCGTCACATCCACTTGTCAGAGAACATGATGTGCCCAGAAGAACTGATGACGCGAAACACACCCTTGAACTGGAACGTGGATCCAGGCTTGCCGCCGAAGTTAGCAATGGTCGTGTTATGGCGCTCATTCATGAGGGTGCTGAACATCGCGCATGTTGAGGCGCAATTCGCATTACCGACTAGACGAGTTTGCTCATCAATATGACCTGCTCCAAGAGGATATAGATGCTAACCAATCGCAATCTTACTGTCGATGGGCCACACAGGTTAGCTCCTTCAATCGAGGGACCCCCAAAGGTCGTATGCGAGACAACGTACTCTGGTGGGAAGAAGGGCTCCTCGGGAATATCGACGACAAATCCCAGCTCGCATGTATCCTGCCAGTCTCATGATTCAGTAATCATCCAAATGGATCAAACAGTTTAACATACTCCGAAGCGTTGGGATTCCGCGAACTGCTGACCGTTGATGGTCCTCGTCGTTGGAGGGTTTACGAAGTTGTCCGTCAGCGGCATTTGAGTGTCGTTCAGGAAATCATCTGCAACGGTAACAATGTCAACATACGTGAGCTTCGGACCGCACCACCTCAGGATCAAGCATACAGTTGTCTGGCGTGTAGAAGGAGAATGAAGCGTTGAGGCCGAGAGCAATATCAGAAGCAACTATCTTCTGGGCAAGCGGGTTGGCGCGCAGCGTGGATTGGAAGCCACTATGACACGGCCAGCTCAACAAGGATGCGATGAGGTTCTTCAATCGGAAGGATCTTACGGGTTTTGGAAGTTGCCGAGGCTTTTGCTGCCGGTGAGGAACGCGTGAAGGAACTGTCCGAGGCAAACAAAGCCACCTGTCGCTTGGTCAACATCAGACAAGGACGCATGATTCAAGCATGCGCACCGCCGTTGTTGGTCAGGTCAACGATGAGTTGCGATACATCGGCCTGCTCAAATTCCTTGAACGCGCTCTGAACGTCGGTCTGGAACCCGTTGAAGTCATCCGGCTCAAACGAGCCCACAAACATCTAAAAGCAGTGCAAACGATCATCTCGAGCGTGCACCGGGAAAGAGTTAGCATACGTACCACACCGGTCTTGTTATCCGGTAGGACATACGACTTGATTACTCCCTCGCTGCCACTAAGAGTAGGGACTGTCGGCTCAAACTGCGAGGGTAAGCCGACAGAGACCGCCTGCAGGTCGACGACGTTCGCCTTCGCGAGTTTCCGGGTCTTCTGCGGCGGGGCATCGGAGGCAGCGAGCCTTCCGAACTGACTCCCGCTCTTGTTGTCGACGCCGTTCGTTTCGTCATTGGCCGCGCAGTTGTTGGCCCAGCTGTACATGTCGCATATCGCAGGAGCAGCTCAGTGCTAGCCTACTCTCGCATCGTGTGGGAACTCACTAGTCAGCGCCGTTCGTGAACGCGACGCCGGCAAAACTAGAGATGAACGGGACCTTGACCGTCTCGGGCTTCGTAGAGTTGACCAGCTGGAGCGTCATCGTGAGCGACTGCAAATCAGGGAACGCAGGGCCCGCAATGTCCCCAAAGCGCTGCGAGAAGTCGTTGCCCGAGATGCGGTAGCTGCTGAACACGCTGTTCACGCGCACGCCGTGGTCTAGGTAGTTGCCAGATTGGGTTGCGGCGATGAAGTCTGCGTAAGCGTACGGGTCCTGGCCCTCAATCGCGAGCACGCGCGCGCCGGCCAGGCGTTGCCAGTCAAAGCCGATCGAGGCAAGAAGGTCAGTGTAGCCGCTGCCGACGAGAGGGATGAACTCCAGCAGATCGGGAGCAACGAACACACTCTCGACGCCATTCTGCTCGAGCGTCACGACGGGCGCGGGGAGGAGGTTCTGATATGTCTCGTAGCAGCTTGGAAGCCAGCCTGGAATAGCGGGCGCCCGCTCGCGTCAACGACAAACGAAAGACATGCGTGCGTTTATAGAACAAAGGCAGGGACGCACGTGTGTGACCATCATTCAGCTGATTCGTGAATTCGAACAAGTCGTGGTTGAAGTCGTAGTCCGTCTGTGCTCATGAGCCTATACGTCAAGCTTCTGCTGATTGACAGAAAGACGCTGAAACGTCACCTTGTACTTTGTGCTATTGATCCGCTGAAGCTGAGCGCGGATATTGGTCGTCGAGTCCTGGAACGGCGGAGGCGAGTGCAAGTAGAAGTCCTCGAACGTGTAGAAGTTGAAGACACGATCGACGACGGTGAGCACATTCTGACGCAGCGTCTCATTGAACGGGAACGACTTCAAGCACGCGAGCGCGTCGGCTGGGAAAGCAAACTGCTTTCCTGCGACCTTCACGCAAGGATCGGCGGCTACGTGGACCGCAGGTGCGGAGAGCGCGGCTCCGGAGAGGCTAAGGAGCGCTACGAGGGCAGCGAAGCGTCCGGCGAGCAGGACCATGATGCTGGCAGTGACGCGTTAAGACTGGCGGAGGATGAGTACGCAGAGACAGCAGCGAAGCCTCGTAGGGGACGTATCAGCCTGGTAACGGGCGTGCCAGCCTCGAGAGTCGAGCGAGGAGGAGCTCAGACGTCGGGAGGGTCGCTGCACTTGAGCATCTGACATTTATTTGCGCGCGACGCGTCGGAGGAAAGGGGGCTCCTGCTCGGGAATTGTGAGCATCCACTGGGTCGGATCGCGAACACGCTGCGTTCCTGGGGACATGTCGGCCATGTTGAGCGGGAAGCGGGGAGTAAAGTTAAGAATAACCCGGTCGCGCGGCATCGCTGTCGAGAAGCAGAATGATAGAGCCATGTGGAAGAGAGACGGGATGAGAAAAACGAGCGGTGTGATGGACGTACAGCGGATGCGCGACGCTCATGTGCACCTGTACGGCACGCCATCTCGGACGGTTTCTTGATTCTGTTCGCCGTCGCGGTCCGCTGTGCTCGTGGGATGATAAGCTTCACGTCGCTTGTCTTCGAATCCCAATGCTAGGTGACTACTCTGGGCTGCCAGGGAACGCTACGTGACGTAGGACAGACCTGCATCAGTCATCGAGCAAGAATGGATTGCAACGACGTTGAGACGAGCTGCTCGACGCCCGCCGCCAAAATGGACTGCGGTAGAACATAGCAAAGTGATGGTAGCAATCCAAAACGTCCACGTCAGGATGCACTACCAACCTTATCGCATTGCTCCGGCGCCCCCGATCATTTCGCTTTGCCGCCGGAACCTGCATGGCCGTCCCCCCTTGCGAAGACTGTTCCAGGTACTCTTTCTCCACGCTCTCTGCTCCCGACTTGCTGGCACACAAGCTATCCGCTACATCGCTGACGTCGTCAGCCTATCCTAATCCCGCATTGAGCCCATACGTGTACACCCACTTCCTAAAGGGAGCGCCATCCCAGTTCTGCAACATTCTGGTAGCATATGGACCCCTTCTGCCAGATTGACTACCATGCTTCGGCATGCTGTACCGATGTCTATGACAGTGCCAAAAGTCACACCGTCAGTAATGCCCAAAACGCCATCACGAGGTTGATGTTCCCGCCGCCGCTGGCATGTTAGGCCACATACGGCCGCGCAACGCCTTGTTGTGAAAGGAAGGCAGCCCTTCTGCCATAACTATTGACTGCCGCCTCGCGAAACCTGCGGGGTTAAGGGGACGCTGAGACTTACGGAAAGGCGAGAACGATCTGTCAATCTGGATGGTAAAGAAGGATGGTGCCGTCTTTACCGTGAGACTTCTCATACCAGATGAGCGACTGGGGCTGACGGCGTGGCAAACGGAACTTCATGCAATCAGGAGCTAGATACACACGGTAAGTATAGATGTGGATGGAGACACCATAGGGAATGACGGTATAATCTACAGCAATGGGTAAGGCATAGACGGCGGCAAAGCAGCGGCGGCCAGATAGAAAGGTAGAATGTGGGCGAGAGAGCAATGTTGACCAAGAGGGGTGTGCAATATATAAGAGTCCAACTGCTCGATCCACTGAAAGTAGGAGGGATAGAATCTTGACATGAGACATGGAGAGACGTAAGATCGTAGGGAAGCGGGACCTGAAGCCCGTCTTACGCGTCTCCGCGGTCAGATCGGGCACGGACCATGGGGTTGTCTGACCAAGAACGCGAAAGCAGGTCGAGCATCGACGCCGAATGGGACGAGCGATGGAACGGTCGAGGAGATGCGACCGGGAGAGGGGGAAGCGGAGGCGGAGGCGACGTGAGGCCCAGCGAAGGCAACCCCGAGACAGAGCCCCCACGCAGGCGCGTCCTGCTCGAGCTACGGAAGAGCGACCGCAGCCCAAATCGTCTGCGAGGGGATTCCGCGCCTTCCGTAGGGCTTGGGGGGCTCGATGAGTCAGGGCGGCTCGACGGGCTTGCGGGTGTGGACGGACTGGGGGTAGACGGGCTGAGGGCACGCGGCGAGCCGAGAGCGGGGGAGCTCGGTGGGGGAATGTGGATTGGAAGGGCATGTAGGTCAGGCGTACTCATGGCGAATTCGTACGAGGGCACTTCATCTGCATACGGCGCTGGCGGGGCTCGCGCGGCATACGGCCCACGTCCAGTAGGGATTGCAATCGGAGTCGTCGTGGGCGTCGGACTTAAACGGGAAGTGGTCATCACAGGGCTCGACGCTGAATTGACAACAGGGTTGAGTGCTGGGGGTGCGCCTGTGTCAAGCGTCGGACTGAGCTGTTGCGCGGAATCGAGGGCCGTGGAGGCACTTAAGCTGGAAGTTGGTAAACCTTCCACGAAGCTTGGGCCGTTCTCCTCGACAGGGGTCATCACCGTGATCGTAATCTCATCCTCGAGATCAGCGGTGCCACTACAGTATGACAGAATATGTCAGTACAATAACGCATGTGATTAGAAGACGACGATTATAGTTTGATATGATGGTGCACGATAGGGTGGCACAAATGCTAGGACGCTAACTGCGGCGCATGCCTCATGACGCGAAGGTACTCAAGTGCACCGGGATGGAATAGGCATGGTAGGGAGGAAACCGTTCCTTCAATGATTGAGGAATCAGAGGAACTGCGACGTACCGAGATATGACAACCTCAGACTCTCCAGGTTCCTTCGTGTAGATGGGCAGCGTGTGCGTTGATCCCATACTGCTGCTGCGTCGCAATTGCCGAGGACGATTGTCCCTTCCGCGACCTGCACTCGAAGAATCATTCCCACTACTGCCACCTCCTGTGGCCGCTCCTGCAGTGGACGGACGAGCAACACGGCTGTTACCAGCGCCAGCAGCAGATCGAGACGGGCCTGAAGGAGGATTGGAGGCGTTATCTCTCGCGTGACTCGATCGCATCCGAGAACTCGGCCCAGACCCTGCAAGCTCTGAGGCAGGGAGCACGCGAGAGCTGCCCGGACTGGAGCTACTGCCGCTAGCACCAGAGCCGAGCAGCTGTTCCGCCGTGAGCACCAAAGTCTGTCCTGTCCGGGCGCGCTGCTTCGCGGCCTGCAGCGTCCGCACAGGCAAGCCCGTCCTCAGCACCTCATCTGCGGTAATGCGGGTGGGATTCGGGACAGCTGGCACGTTCCGCGACAAGGAGGGACGCACGAAGCTTGATGGGGGAGATCGCGCAGCTGGACGTGGGGTGCTCCGAGATCGCGACGCGGCGTTGTTCCGTGCGGCAGGCGTGATCGTGAGGCTCGTGCCCAGCAGCTGCTCGACGGTTATGTTCTTTGGTCCATGCTTCGAATGTTTGAATGGACGAGCGGGTGTGAGGTCTGACCCGAGCAGCTGATCAGCGGTGAGTTCGACTCTGGTGACGCGGGATCTGCTGGGGCCTGCGGTCATGCTCGGGCGACGTGAGAGTGCGAGATGTGAGACGCGAGGGGCAAACGGTCGTGTGAGATGAACGTGGCGGAGATCGCTCGCGGGAGAGTCCAAGAGCAGAAGCGGGCAAGGACGGGGATACGGGGGTATATGGGTGTGGTGGTACAGAGAGAAGGAGAGATGGGACCGGGAGATGCGAGGAGGGAGATGTCGAGCCGCCCGGGCGAAGGCACGCGATTCCGGATGATCTCTCGATCGTCTGTCCTTCTTGGCAAAGCTGTGCCCCTCTGCTGAGCCAAATGTATTTCTACGGAAACTTTCGGAACGAGTCCAGAGCCACCCGTAGTTCCTACATGTCAGTAAGCAATCACAAACTACATATTCGAGCAGAGCAATCATCATGGGAATAGAAATATGGGGAACAGTGGTTCACGGCAGAGGGCTGCGCGTACTTGCAGAAACGTTGCCGGGAACAAATGGCACAAGTTCGGCTTATCATCACGTAGCCGTCTCACTGCCGTGGCGCACTGGCACCTCCGTCCGACGACAGACCGAAGACTCCCGACCGACTAAAAGTAATAACGTACTTCGATCTAGAGCCTTGCAAAAGAACCTCATACTGTCACAGCACAGTTGAGAAAGTCTCACGTGAGTACAATATCGTCAGGAATCAATTGGTAGGCTCTCCGTATGAGATTGCAAGGTTATAGCTCTTCTTGATACATGATCCCGTACCGCACAGTTCCAGCTGGCACACAGTCGTTCATCTTGTCATCCGTCGTCTCCGGATTTGCACCTGTCCCTCCCGTGCACGCCGGCTAAGTCCAAGTTGGCGAGTTTCGCCCGCATGTTTTCCGGCCCGGTATGAACGCCTATGAGAATTGGAGTACGCAAGTCGCCAGCACCATTTCACAAAAGGCTCAGACCGTGGCATCAGGGACGCCGGTCATTCGACCATGTACATTTCCCCTGGCGCCTTCGGGCTCTCAGAGTGGATGCGAGATCCTGCTCAGCGAGGGGGTGCTAGGTAGCAGCGTATCGCGCCGTCACCAGCGCTCTCGGCTTTGCCCTTAGAAGGCTCCGCTTTTCCCGCTTCGCCTGGGTCGCCGTCAACACTATCCTCCTCATTCGAGTCTGCATTGTTCCCTGAGGTGGTCAGAGAGCGCGTCGTTCAAGACGCAAGGTTGGTCAGTGGAGAGTAGGGAGGGATTGTACTCAAACCTCTTACGGCCGACGCACTCTCTCCCCGGACGTGTGACCGAGTGGATATTCAGAGGGTGCCTAGCTGCGTCCGAACGACTGTCTCACGTTCGTTATTAGGGCGTATCGAGGATTCGACGTGTCAGAATACTCTGTGCGTGTGTCAATACGTCTATTGAACGTAGGATGGAGAGCAGCCCATCTTCCTGGTCTTCTGACTAAAGCTACAGGGTACAGCATCTTGGACCTGAAGTCCTTTGCCGACCCTGCGCCGTCGCCGCTGAATAGGTATGAGCTCCGCACGTGGCCTGTGGGAAGGGAGGTAGGGAGCATGCGTACCTCGTAGCGACACGGCATCTAGCCACACGAGTCGAAGTCAAGATGTGCGTGAACTTGAGTACAGAATCTTGTTATCGGAGCTCGTATGGCTTGACCTTGACGCTATAGTTATGTGCGGGACACGGACAGGAAACACTACTCACTGTAATCATGCCGCCATCATCTCCTGAGGAGAAAGGTCGCGATAGAGGTCGCTTCATTTGGCGGATGGGGCCGCGTCGCAAACGCTGCCTAAGTCAGAAGTAGCTGCCCAACATTGGATAGTCGTTGAACAACACAAGTTTCGACAATCTCCCCCGTCCCTACATCGACGGTGCAGGTGATCGGCACACATGGCAAAATGGAGATGGGCGTACTGAATGGCGGACTCCTTGGAAGGCTTAAAAATCCCCCCCCCCGTAGCCCCCCTGCCCGACGTAGCTAAAAAGCCCTAGCGTGACCCATGTGTTGAAGTTCGCGAGGGAGTCGTAAGAACGATAACACAGTATATTGCGTTTGGCTGAGCTCTGCAAACGCATGAGGAACAAGTGGCGTGTGACAGCGAGAGGAACATATACTACAAGCTGACTAAGCATATCCATAACGGGACATGTACCTACGAGACCGTCCAATCCTGAATTCCAATACCATGGTAGTCCCTTAAGTCGCGAAAGGTTGTCCTTAATAGAAAGCAACTTCAAAGACATGCGCTCCGACAGTTAGTGACGTCGAGCATATGATGCCAATGGACCAAGAGACTACATGAAGTGTAGCGCCAAAATCCATTCTATGTAGGACAAATAGACGCCCGCCCGTGGATCCCATCGGATTATGTGGGACTCGGGAGAACTTCATCACTCTCCTCCATAACCTCTCCGATTCACACCAACAAGAGACCTTCTGCACGCTATGCTGGAGAATGTCATATGACCTCTTGCTGCTGTATCGAGCTTACTCCTGTGCTCCTCCTCAAGTGTCAGGCTCCACCTTCGAGATCGTGGCTCTTCAGGTGCGTATCCTGCATGCGGTCACTGCTCTACCATCCCTGTTAGCTGCATTATGACCTATCCCGGTCTCTTATCCTTTGGGATACGATACGATTTCTAAGTGCTACCTTTGCATCAATCCTGCGCTTGCCACCCGAACCAACCTGATCCCGAGAAGGTGGATGCAGAAAATTGGGTCCGAATGGCTGAAGCTCGCTTGCGTCAGATGTTCCTTTCTATTTGTGAAGTTCATGCGATTCGTGCTCTCACCACCCAGGAGCCTCGCGATGTCGACTTGCGTCATATGTAGACGGTCTTAGCACAGCCCGCGCCCAACGTATCCCTGGAAGCGGTGCTCATTGACAGATGGACGCCCACTCGATATAAAGCGTCAGAGCACAGCCAAAAAGCCCAGGCCTTCAGTCGGCCAGGCAGCGCAACTTATAGCAGCGCCCCGTAGGTTCGGCAACAGAGATTAAGGAGCACAGAGGCTAGAGTTTGGAGTTGTTCTCAAACCATTGCAGGGCCCTACTGCAGTGCCGCTTGCGTTCAGCCGAGATCTATTGAGCGCTGTGTTGATCGGCGGGCAATGTGTGTGAGAAATGTCTTACGCGATGCTGGGCTAATATTGGGTCCAATGCAGGATTCATCTCTGCCGTGGAGTCAAACTTTTTATGCTTGGATTGTTCCGATCATGACAATTCGATGTCCTCCCTCTTGCCGGCCGCGGATGCACTAACCCAGCATCTTACTTCACCACGTCCACGGTCCCTTGCTTGAGTTGCGTGTCCCAGCGCAATGCCCTTGCTAGCCTACGCAGTCGTCTCTGTGACTTTGGCTCTAAGCGTTCGTGCGGGAAATTGGACCGCGACTCCCTTCAGCCCAGCTTCCGTCCCGCTTGCCGTGCGCTCCCCATACCTCTCGGTATGGCTACCCCAAGGCGCCGGTAACGCTCTCAATGATGTATGGCCAGAATTCTGGACCGGGCAGGTGAGACGTTTATCACGATGAACCCCGCATATGCTGATGTTTTGCAAGGATGTCTCCGGGTGGTCAGGATTTGCGAAGGTTGATGGTACAGCGTACGTCTGGATGGGTGCACCCGGAGTGCCCAATACAACCTTTACCAAGGCTACTCAGAAGAGTCTTCAAGTGAGACTACTGGCATGGTCCGTTTCGATCGAACCTGACAATCATGGTAGTGGACTTCAACACAAAGCAGCTTCGTCATGACGGCCGGCCCGGTCGATCTGAACATCACTTTCTTTAGTCCCGTGGAGGTGAGCAACAGCCATGTCCTCGTCCGGTGCATCCCAGTGATGAATATACTATAGCCCAGTGATCTCGTGAACCAATCCCTTCCTTTATCATACTACTCTATCTCTGCAGCGTCAAACGATCAGAATTCGCACAAAGTCCAGGTGTACGTTGATATTTCCGGGGAATGGGTGACTGGGACTCGCCTCAGCGCTCCCACCATCAATTGGACGACAACCGCTGGGGATGTGATAACGCACCAGGTTCAGCTCACGAATCAGGTTGAGTACAGCGAGCTTGGCGACCATATTCAGCGTAGGTAACTATTTTGTTCCTGCGTCGGGGCGTACTGATGTCTTCTTGTGCAGAGGGTGCTGCATACCACTCGACTCTAAGCGTGCGCCCAGCCTCGTGTATTGAGCTACCCTCGCAAGTCTGATAAACAGTTCCATTGCAGGTACCGGGAACGACATACCAGACTGGACAAGACATCGTTGTCCGCGCAGAGTTCATCAACAATGGCGTACTCAACAATACACAGGACACTCAGTTCCGTGCCGTGAACGACAACTGGCCTGTATTTGCGTTTGCGCACGACTTCGGAACCGTCACGGCTGCGACAACCCCTGTCGTCTACTCGGTCGGACACGCACGTGACCCCGCGATCCAGTATGTCACCGTCAACAATGGACGAATGGCCCTGAGCTCCTACTTCTGGACCCGATACTCTACGATGGCAGATGCCGTGAGCATGGATGCTTTGTATGTTGATTGTTGCTAATGGCCAGGTCATATCGTTAGATTGCAGCCTTTCTGAAGGATTACAATAACGCTGTGGCTAGAGCGGACGCGTTCGATGCTCAGATCAACAACGATGCGCGGAACATCTCCTCCGATTATGCTTCGTTGGTCGCGCTCTCGATACGGCAAACCTTCGGCGCCATCGAGATCACGGTCGGGAAGAAGATGGACGGGACTTTGGACACATCAAACATCCTCACGTTCACTAAGCGTGCGTGCGGCTTCTGAAGATTGACTATGGCTCGCTTGAACTGATGGTCCTTTCTGGATGTGTAGAGATATCATCAGACAATGTACGCCCCAGCGCGTGCGATTTGGTAGTTCTGACATTGACGAAGCCGACAGACCGTGAATACCGTGGACGTCATCTACCCTTCTTGGCCTCTTTTCCTCTACACGAACCCAGCGATAGGCAGATCACTATTGCTTCCGTCACTACAGTATCAGAACTCAGGACAGTATCCGAATCGTTGGTGTGCCCATGACATGGGTTCGTCCTGGCCGTTCTCTGAATCTCCTGGGGTTCTGATTATCCTCATGCCCTAGGCTCAAGTTATCCGAACGCCACTGGCCACAACGATGGTAAGGCAACACTTCTGACGTGATATCCCCTGCTATACATACTCCAATTTAACAACATCGCTGCAGGGCTGGACATCCAGATGCCTGTAGAAGGTACGATGGTTCTATGTGCAAATATCTTTGAAGCATTGAATGCTCACACATACTCTCGATAGAAAGTGGGAACATGCTCATTATGGCGCTCAGCTATACTCAGTGGACGAATGATATGTCTTTGCTCAGCACCTATGTACGTCCATCCACACTGGCTGGGTATCATTTCACGGCCGGCTAACTTCGGAATCAACATACAAGTCTGGCTTGCTGGACCAATGGACCCAGTTCCTGGTCCAGGACTCCTTGATTCCAGCAAATCAAGTTAGCACGGACAACTTCGCCGGATCGCTTGCGAACCAAACCAATCTTGCTATCAAGGGTATTGTCGGGATACAGGCGATGGCTGAGATCGCTCGACTCACCAACGACATGTCGAAGTACACGAACTACAGTGTAGGAGTTAACGTCTTGTCCTTCATAGCTTGACAACGAGGCTCACGTCTCTGCAGACGCTTGCGGCCTCGTACGTTCAGCAATGGCAGAACTACGCGATCTCCTCGTCTGGCTCTCATCTGACCCTTTCGGTACGTTGCGTTATCTCTGTTCTTTCCAGCAGCTGACAATGAGCGTCATGGGCTGACGTACACTCTCAAGTATGGTGACGATGCTAGGTACGGCAATCAGCTTTCCAATCCAGACCTTGTCTCACTTCATCGTTAGCTGGGGCCTAACTTACAATCTGTACGCTGACAAACTCCTCGCCACCAATGTCTTCCCTTCCTCCGTGTACGACCTGCGTGCGTAACCGTTGTAGCTTTTGCCTGCTCTGCGTCACTCTTAGCTCATACGAATGTCAACAAACAGAAACTTCCTGGTATAACGGCAAAGCTAGTGCGTGTTCAGAACATTAGAACGATTGCGGGATTCATCTATTCTCACAATACACTGCAGACACCTATGGGGTCATTCTGGATACGCGACACACATACACGAAGTCCGGTGCGTTGAGTTATCTACTGCAGACAAAACGGCTATTGAAGTCATTCGGCTCCGATACATTGATTTGTGACAGATTGGTCGATGTGGACCGCAGCCACAGTCACCTCAAACGATGTACGGGACCAGATCGTCAGCGCAGTAGTCAAATACGCGTCCGATGGACAGAACAGCAACCCTTTGAGTGATTTGTACGACACTGATAGCGGTAAACAAGCTATGGGCGGGAACTTTGCTCGTCCTGTCGTTGGCGGCCATCTCGCCTTGGTAAGTCCCGAGTACGATGACCATGTTGATTCGCTCCATTTTTATGTTAACGATATGTTCAGCTTGCCCTACAAGCGGCACCCAACATAACGGATCCCAACGTTTCGTCTAGTAGTACTTCGACTGGAAGTACCGCCTCTCCAACGGGTAGCCCATCAACTTCGTCGAACAAGTCTGGTGCTCCTCCTCGTTGGAGCAATGCAGGCAGTGTGACAGTACTTAGCTTGCTTGGTATCCTATGCGTTTTCTTGGTTGCATAGTCACCTTGAAAGACACTTCTTCATCTATATATGTTCATCAGTTGCTATCTGTGCTCTGCTATGTTGGATCGTCGAGACTGATATATGTATCATTTCAGTTGATTATTCCTCGACTCTACCGCTGTCGGAAGATATTGCAAACGTTGTGCGACTTTTCGTAAGACATCATGGGAAGACAAATCAGGGCTTGGCACGACGCCCATTCCTGTGCTCCATCACTAAAGGCACCGCTTACTCCAGGCACCGCATTACCACCTACAGATGATATACCACATATTGGAAATAGGACTAGTCGGGCGTCGAGGTCTCGTGTGAGCGATTTTCAAATCGAAACATGGAAAGCCCGTGAGGACCCTCAGGGTAATCACAGTGTACTGCTGCTGGCTACTGTCGGTTTGCCAACGTTGATGTTCTGTGTCAGGGATGGAGGTCAATGGGCTCATTTGTTTCTATCCTAAGTATCCGCGGGAAGGTGTAGAGCTATAGCGGAGATACGTCGGCGCCGTCAAATGTATGAGTGACAGTTGGGGCGTCGCGTATAGATCACCCGGCCTGATTCTGTTAGTTTTACGATCGATGCTTGCCGACGGAAGTAACATATAACTAATCGTGTCCCTTACAGACAGCACACCTCTCTACTTTCCTACCCTTGTCAGGCAGCAATGGGTAGTTGGACGGTCTCCATTGACGACTCGAGCTCCTTCATCAACTATCGCCCTCACGGTACGTGTCGCCCCGAGCTCGAGGCTTCTCACATCAGGAGATCTTCTGTTCCATGCTGATTGTGCATGACAGGTGATGGCGGCGCTGGGAATTGGACAAGTACTGGGTGGCAGCCTTGGTATTCGGACAAGGGGTTCAATACTGCTGGTGGGGAGCTGGGCACCGGCCAAAGCCTGCACATCACTGGGTTTCCTAATGCGAGTCTGGACTTCACATTCTACGGTGAGCAAGTTGCCTTCTCATTTTCCCATGAAAACTCATACCAAGCCATGTCAAGGCACCGAAGTCGCTTTGTACGGCAATGCGAATTGCTCGTACGATGTTTCAGTCGATGGGTCGCTGCAGTCATTCCAAGCGGCGAGCGGCCCTGAGTTGTTCCACATGACTGCCCTCGACGAGAAGACGCACAATGTCACACTAGTTGCGCATGCTTCAGACGGGGCTTTGTTCTCTTTCGACTGGGCCGACATCACTAGACCGCTCCCAGGGTATGTTTCCGTGCATTGTGTTGGAAGTCATATCTGATGGAGGTCTTCAGAGAGGATATCCCATCATCCCAGGTCTTTGCAGCTACAGATCCAACGTTTTTCGAATACAGAGGTGATTGGTCGCAAAAGACCGATCCGAATGGTCAGATCCCGAGCGAGAGTCATTCCGCGCCATACTACCAGGTACAGAGCTCACCAGCATCCTTGTCGTTTGCGTTCCAAGGCTCCGGTGTCTCTGTGAACGGCTCGAGGAATTGGGGAGGTTATACGTACGATGTTGTCAGTCACCTTTCTCTCAATTTTTCGATATGGATATCTCAGACGGACTTATTAGACACTTGATGACGTCACAACCTCGTATAACGAGAGCACTATGTGGTTGATTGGCGATGCTCTGCTATTCTATCAGGACGGCCTTGACCCCTCTGCAACGCACACCGTCAATATCACCCCCAAAGTCGGCGATGGGTTGATATTTTGGCTGAATTCTGTGACGGTCCACGGCGGTCTCAATGCCACCAGCACAAACTCAAGCACGTCCCCGAGCAGGTATGTCTATATACATTCTGTTGCTTTGTGTGCGTCTCGATGAGCCCTGACCCAACCTCTTTTTTCCGTCTTGTCAGCACCCTCCAAACCTCTAGCACTGCCAGTGGATCTGCATCGGCGACATCGAACCCTTCGACATCTCAGCCTAACTCCGCACACTCCTCTGACGCGGGTAGGATAGCGGGCGGGGTCATCGGTGGGCTCGCCGGCTTGGCGATCCTCGCAGGTGCGCTCGTCTTCTACTTTCGCAGACGTCGCGTTCCAGCCCCCGCGCGCGATCCGCCGGTTCCTGCGGTGAGCCCGTACCCAGACGTGGCAGACGTCGAGATCATAACGGCGCGGGAGACGGCCCCGCCGATGATGAGCGAGATCAGGAAGCTGGCTGTGGAAGGGCTGGCCGCAACACGGGCGAACAACCAACCTCCCTCGTCCAGCGCGTACTCGGCATCGTCCGCGCCTCCTTCGTCGGGGATCGTAACAGGCGCCACAGCTGCTCCTGCAGTTTCACCGACCAGCCCGCGGCTGAGCCAGGGCCCGGGATCAGAGGCGGCGGTGGTGGACAGGCTGATCCAGCTCATTGCTGACCGGATCGAACATACACGCGCACCGACCGCGAGTCGATCGGATTTCAGCGCGGGGTCCGACTCTATGCCGCCAGAATATCCGCCTCCCGGCTATCCGGGCGCGTGAGATGTATATTGTACAGGTCGATTCTCTTTTTCCCCTGCTCTCTGCTCCAGCATCTTTCCTGGCACTCATTGTTTACTTACCACATGCTTACTCTTGTCTCCGTAGGCATTTGCTTCTAATAGTTCTGCTTTGTCGTTTGTTGTCTTCCCGTTGGAGCTAGTGTAACAATCCCTAGTGAATCATCGCACGACTCGTCTCATCTTGGCCAAGTGTATCTGTTGCTCTGCTGAGAACTCACTCCACACACGTCTGTTGTCCCCCTCGCGTCCCGTGAGACGATAGAATCAACGCGTGCTGCTAGTCATATGCTACTCTGGATTCAAAACATCCGACCGAGATACATTATCTATATATATTTCTGCATACTATGAGAAGATTCGCGAGAGCCAGATCAACAGAATGACTCTGGGCATAGAGCATGCATCTCTCACCTTGTCCTATTGCTTGTTTGAGGGGGGTCAAAAAGGGCCCAACCGGGAATTGAACCCGGGACCCCGCGCATTTCCCGATTCACAAACCAGGGGGAATAACCCGAAGCGCGTATCATACTACTAGACCATTGGGCCACAAAGAAACGACACACGCTAAACGTTATATCGAGTCAATGATGACCACCTGAACTCTGGACAACCCGCGATAGGTGGTGAGTTAGCAAAAGTATGCTCGATTTTTGAAGCTGAAGCTACCCGGGTGAAATGTAGATTATCCATAGCCTGGCTGAAGGCATGAAAGGAAATATTGCATGTATACTTGCACTTCGTCGCTGGCGCCGCACGGACAAGTCGCTGATCGTCTGCCTTCTAGGAGAGCCTCGGTACTAATAGCGATGGAGATCATCCACCAGTCAGACAAAGCTGTCTTGTACGGCACAATTTTTGGATACCGCGCCTGCAGTCAATTGGCACCATGCGTGGAGGCCACTTTCGGAGGCGTGGAAAGATTATGTGCTCAGGACAGCTTGGCTTGGAGGTCACTGCGGAAGATTGATATAGGTAGAGGGGCATTCCTGTACCTGCACCACCGTTGATGGCTCACCTTACAGGATATAGCAAATCTTGATTTTGAATGCTTCGGCTCATATGTACTCTGGATTTTCTCCGAACGCAACCAATGCTCCACGAAGACCAGTGGATCTCCCTGACCGCTGTTATTGGATCCTGGCTTGTCAATAAATACAACCACAATTAAGAGAGAATATTACCATCATGAATTCCACACGGAATATAGTTCAGTGTACAATATCGTAGGTCTCAGCGCTGTGGCGAGAGCCTATAGGCATTTCGAGAACGAGGAAGAGGCCACGACGGAGGCTGTGCCAATGGACGCCCATGAGTCCGAAGTTCGCACGGCCTCTGAAACCGAGATCTGGACACGACTGCTCCTGCTAAACACATTCACCTCCTCCTCCCTCCACGTCTCCTGCCTCCTCGCATGGAATGAAACCGCTCGCTTCTCTATCTGCCTTACTAGTAACCGCTGGAATATGTTTTGCCGAAGTCCTCTCCCTCCGCTCTGACCCGGGCAAAGACCTGTCCACTCACGTCAATGTCCTCCGGAGCGAACACCCGCCCTCGTACCCAGGAAGCGGAGATCTCGAGCTGTTGGACATCGTCCTCGTTGCCTCGGTCGATGGAAAGCTCCATGCGCTCAACAGGACGTCTGGTGCCTCCCTCTGGTCCATGGCCTCGTCTGGGACGGCCGCCCCCGCAGCTTTTGGCCCTCTCGTGCGCACGGAGCACCCAGAGGTCGACCCGGACCTGACGGACGACGACGATGCGAGCAGGGAGATCTACATCATTGAGCCGCAGACTGGCGACATCTATGTCATGTCTTCGTCTGACAGCCCGCTGCAGCGCCTTCCGTTCTCCATGGCTCAGCTCGTCGACATGTCTCCGTTTAGCTTTTCTGGTGACGAGGACCGGAGGGTGTTTGTTGGGAGGAAGGAGACGTCGCTGCTGTTGATCGAGCTGGAGACTGGGAGGATCAAGGCGACTGTGGATCCGACATGTCCCTGGACGCCGTTCGAGGAGATGAGTGAGTCGTCGGAAGAGGTGGATTTGGATGAATTGGAGGGTTCGAAGCCGCCAAGGGATGCAGGGAAACGGACGGAGGTGTATATTGGACGTACGGGTAAGTGTTCCTTTCAGCCCGCAATGTGTAAGTGGTGATTGCTCGGATGCCTCTCACGTCGAGCAAGTCGACAGTTGCTTGCGAGATATTCCCGCCTTATCACACGAGCCTACACGTACTACAATGACGGCATACGTGCGTTAGAACGCTGCTGACAGGACATTTGCTTCAGACTATCACATAGCCATCCATACACGCCCAGAAGGCCCCAGTGGTCGAACTCACGTCCAGAGACTGACATTCTCAGCCTATGGGCCCAATAATCAGGATACCGCACTACAAACACTATACCAGCGCACCGCCGACAACATCTACATACAGTCCCTCCCCACCGGCAAGATCATGTCCTTCAAGACGGCCGCCACGGATTCCACCGCAGCGTTGCCGGTCTGGTCAAACCACTTCCCTAGTCCCATGTAGGTAATGCACAGCTTGGGTGGTGTCGCACCTGACTTAGCGCTTCTACAGCGTCACAACATTCGACGTAGTGCGCTCGCCAAAGCGCCAGCAGCCGTTCGTCCTGCTTCAGCCGCAGCCGACGCTCCAGGAGATCTTTCCGCTTGCCGATCTTGTGACTGCGACGAAGCACAAAGGCCTGCCTAACCTCGACCGCGCGTACGTCGGCATAGTAGAAGAAAGCGGTTCCCTCTTTGCGATGAGCCCCGACCGCTTCCCGCTCGTCGTCTTTGGCGACTCCAGCGCGGACCGCAACTGGCGCTCAATTGACCCACCTCCTGGCGCTTCATTCGACGAGGAGGCGGACGACTTCCCCGTAGATGTCGATAGTGCCAAACGCGTTGCGAGAAATAGGAAGCTCCGCGAGATGTGTAGGAATGGGGCGACGGATGTTCGCTGTCTGACCGGGGTCCGACCGCTAGGGTCGGACAGCCAGTCGCGCTTGAGCCGACTGCTCGATGGGGCTCCTTCGGTCTTGCCTCCGCCCTCGTACCAGAACCAGAACTCGAACAGGCACGAGGTGGAGGTCCGCGAGGACGAGCCGTTGCCGGACGAGAAGGACACTGGCAACAGCTCGATCAAGCCGCCTCCTGCGTGGGGAAACCGCTCTGATCCCCGACTCGAGGACCAGCCGCCCGGCAAGCTGCTCAGGATGAGCGGGCAGACGCAGGCGATGTCGGTGTTTGCGCTCTGTGCGATCGTGCTGCTGGTGTGGATGTCTGTCAAGAAATTCCTGACTCCAGGCTCTTCGACTTTGGCTCAAGCTTCCGTCCCTGCGCCGTCCCCGGAGGTTAAGGAGGACACAACCAAACCGGTGGCGGAGCTGCACGCTCTAGAACAGCCGGAGAAGGTCGCGAACGGCCACGCTGATCCTGTCCTACTCCCTGCATTCGAAGACACGACTGCACGTGGGGACCCAGATGAAATTCCGACGGCTCAGCAGGTTGTCTTCGCCCCGGCGACTCTAGAGCCTGTCGCCGACCCAGTTACGGATGCCCCAGACGAGGATACGGAGAAGGAGGGCGATGGAGCTGATACACCCGGGAAGCGGAAGGGTATCAGGAGGGGAAGACGGGGAAAGAAGAAGAAGGGGGTCACGATTGTTGTTCCTAGGGACGAAGTCGAGCAGGCACCGGAGCCGACACCGACGCCAAATAGTGGAAGTGACGGCTTGAAGGAGCCTGCGTCCGCTATTTTGCTCGCTCCGTCGACACCGCCCACGCCTGTAGTACCAACCTTGGTTGTTTCGGACACTGTTCTCGGTACGTCATTTGGTTCTTGTCTATCAGGCCACGCTGACGCATGGATGCCGCAGGTATGGGCTCACACGGGACTGTCGTGTACAAGGGCTCGCTACAAGGCCGCGCGGTCGCCGTCAAGCGCATGCTTTCCGACTTCGTCACCCTTGCCTCCCGTGAGGTCAACGTTCTGCAAGAGTCGGACGACCATCCGAACGTGATCCGGTACTACTACCAAGAGGCGCACGCCAACTTCCTCTATATCGCTCTCGAACTCTGCCCGGCGTCCCTCGCGGACGTCATCGAGCGCCCGGACCAGTTCCGCGACATAGTCGTCGCGTTCGAGCCGAAGCGTGCCCTCCGGCAGATCACCGCGGGTCTGCGCCACCTGCACGCGCTCAAGATCATCCACCGGGACATCAAGCCGCAGAACATTCTGATCTCGTACGCGAAGAAGGGTGCGGGCGAGAACGCGGGGCACCGGATGCTCATCTCGGACTTTGGGCTGTGTAGGAAGCTCGAGTTCGACCAGACGAGCTTCTTGCCGACGGCGCACGGCTCGATGGCCGCTGGCACGGTCGGCTGGCGCGCGCCTGAGATCCTGCGTGGGGAGGTGAAGCTCGACGACTCGGGCGACGAGTCGCAGTCGTCGAGGGGGAGCGTGGGCATCGGCAGCAGCGGCGGCTCGAGTTCGGGGACCCCGACAGGCAAACCGACAAGGCTGACGAAGTCGGTGGACATCTTCGCGCTGGGGTGCTTGTATTACTATGTGCTTACGAACGGCTTCCATCCGTTCGGAGATCGGTTTGAGCGGGAGTTCAACATTCTGAAAAACGCAAAGAACTTGGAGGGGCTGGAGAGGTTTGGGGAGGAGGGCGCGGAGGGCGTGGATCTCATCAACAAGATGTTGAGTCCTGAGGCGTATGACAGGTGCGTTGTTCCTTTCTGCGTTCAGGGGCAGTCAGAGCTCACGGTTTTTTCTCATTGTTTATCTTTACAGGCCGGACACCAGCACATGCTTACTACACCCGTACTTCTGGGACCCAGGCAAGCGACTCATGTTCCTCCAGGACGCGTCGGATAGGTTCGAGATCATGTGTCGGGATCCGAAGGACCCAAACCTGCTCGCGCTCGAGAAGGGCGCGTACGACGTCGTGGGCGCAGATTGGCACTCACGGCTCGATAAGTTGTTCATCGAGAATCTTGGCAAGTTCCGGAAATACGATGGAAAGTCGGTTCAGGATCTCCTTCGTGCATTGCGGAATAAGGTGTGTACGGCATCTGAAGGTGATGTTTCTTCATAGCTGACGACGTTCTCGTAGAAACACCATTATCAAGACCTGCCGGATAACGTGAAAAGACTGCTGGGGACGATGCCTGAGGGCTTCCTGGCGTATTTCACCCGCCGATTCCCAAAGCTCTTCCTGCACGTGCACGGCGTCATTTCGAACTCTGCTCTCCGCTCCGAGTCCATGTTCCGCACATATTATGAACTCATTGACTAGTAACACTCCGTTCTCCTTAGATCCTTCCTCCCGTCGTGTCCCGCATCTACATTCGTCTGTCTTCGCCCATCGTCTGCATTTCCCCATCTAGCATCTGCCATCCGATCCCAGATATCCATCTCGCTACCGTATCTAATCTATCCTCTCTCACGTCTGGTTGTTTATTCGTCATTGCTGTATCTGTATCGCATCGCTGTGCTCTGATCTGCTCCAAACTGGATCCGCCACTAACGTGTAGTCGAAGCACTTACGTATATAGTGTACTACTTGATATTGGGGCCGTCTCAGGAATGTAAATGATTTTCCTACCCACGCCTTCCGAGTCGGATTACCATGTCGGAGTGCAATGAGTGCATTCATCGAAGCACTACGGTGGAGCAAAATAATACAATACATACAACGTTTGCAAACATGTTCATCTTTCCAAATCGCTCACAACACTGTCATCACGAAAACTACTTCCGGGACGAGAACCCGCAGCACCGGCTCACACTTCTCTTGGAATTTAGCCTTCGCCTCCCCACTCCTGTCGTAGCATTCCAAGTGCAACGTCTTCAGCCGAGCGCCCCTCTCCGGCGCGCGAATGCGGAGACAGTCCACAACACGATCGTACGCCTCTTTCATGGCCACCAACGTCTCCCACTCGCCATCAGCCCATATGCGCTCCAGTCTAGGACATACGACCTCCCAGTCCGCGAGACCCGCCGGCAAAGACGACCTCGTCGGTCCCAGCCTCGAGGTAGGTCGGAGCAGGGAAGGTGCGAAAGACTGCCACCCATGTTTCCGTTCTACGAGTATCGCAACGCCCCCCAATCTGAAGGTGCGTCAACGTTGCTGCGGCAGGGGCAAAGACCGAGATGAGGTCGTTCAGGCCGTGCTCCATGCGCCCGCCCCAAGGGGCCATGATAGGCGCCACGAGCTCCAGGTGCACTTTAGCCAGACTACGCTCTAGCGGGCGATCGGTGATTGAGTAACCTTCGAATCCCACATTCACCATCGCGTGAGTAAGAGTGGATAGGAGGGGCAGCGAGTCGGTGCGATCGGGAGGCATGAGGGTGGTGAGACTGATAGTCGTTTCGTCCTGGCCTTGTCCTATGATGCTGTTGATGCGGACCGACGCCTGTGGTGGAAGAGCGACACGCGAGAGGAAGAGCGACGAGGACGAGGGCGGGTGGTCCTCTAAGTTCAGGACATCGAGAGACGGTAGGAGTTTCGGTGGTTCACGGGGCTTCACGTCGGCTCCGTCGTGAGAAAGATGGTGGAGGAAGTGGCGGAGGTCAAGCAATTCGAGGCGGGGGCCATCGGCCAATAGTTGTATGAACATTGCAAGTGAAAGATTGCAAGGGCATCGGTCCAGCGCGAGTTTCCGGAGTCGGCTGTAAACCGAAGGGTCCGTTGGTGCGACGACGCGGGTGATAGATAGAACGACGAGGTTGGGGAAGTTGGTAGATTTGATGACAAGGTCGGGAATTTCGCCCTTCTCAGGACCCAGAGAGTCCCTGCTAAAACCAGAGATCTGGAGGTACTCCATTGAGGGCAAGTCGGATCGGAAGATACTAAGGGCGCAGGACGTCCAGTGCCGCAAACAGAGGCTTCGAAGACGGTGCCAGTGGGGTTCCAGGATACTCAGATGATCTTCGGTTATCGGACCAGATGGAAAGGATATGTCGATGGTGGCAGGTAAGGAACGTATGAGGGCGAGCTCACTCCATTTCGAAATTTTGTCCCTCATGTCGATGGTTCGCCAGAGGGTCGGTGTCGTACACGCTATGTTACACCAACGACGGCAAACGAGCATGAGCTGCGTCCATCTGAGATTTCCCGCCCAATCTCTGAACGGTGTATTTTCGCAAGAATGTGCAGGTTCTGCGGCTTCGCTGAAATAGAAGAAGATGGGGAGAATGATCTCATCTGGGAATTGCATGATCGGCAGCTCGGGATTCCAGCGGTCCTTTGCGTCTTCCCCCTCTCCGTCACACATCATGTCTTGTGTGCTGAAGTCACCAGGCAGGCCCTCTTCTTGTATGTTTGCGTCGCCGAGGACCTGCTGAACTCCTAATGACATCTTACGATTTGATCAGATTTCCATATAGTGACATCAGTGATGCATGGCCATGAACAGTGAGAACGGCCAGATGAAGTTACTGCGCAGTGCTTACATAGTGGAGCTGGTTTTTTCTGTACAGGGCCTCACTGTGGTTGTGGCAAGAATCTCGACGCGCTCTAATGGCGTTGAACCCAGGATCCGGGTGGACAATTAGTACGAGCCGGAGCCACCGCTTTCTCACGGTCATGCTTGTTCTTTTCCACAGATGCGTCGACGGCTTCTTACGGTACTCAGTACGGACCGTACTACTCACTTCATTTCTTCGTATCACGAGAAACCCTCCCGCGAGCATACGCTACTCTCTTGTATGCCTGGGATCCTTATACAGACACCCAAACATCAAGTGTTGAATGGGCGCGACCCACAGCATCACACAACTTGAACACGCAATCTCGCATACCCAAAGAATAGAGGCCTCTCTGCACTCTCGCCGAGCTATGGGTACGAATGGACTTACGCGGACGCCTTCTGTATCGACAAGACGAGAAGTGCAGAACGCTCCCAAGCCAACATTTCAATGTTCCACCAACACTCTTGCGGTTGAAACCTGCTATGCGTACCTTCGAGAGGTGCCACACGAAGGAGACCTCCACACCACGGGATTGCGGGCGAGCGTATTGTCTTGAGAACAATGGCGGAGTTGGAGAACATTCTGCAAGAGATCACGAATTTCCTGGTGAGTGTACTTCTTCTGGGGACTGACTCGGAGGCGGCCCAGGTGAGCATACTGTTGGTATGTCCAGGGATGTCAGGCGATAGACGACTCAGAGAGTAAGGTTCACTATCCCTTCGGCGTCATCAAAATCACCATAAGGTGTTCGACGGTTGCAAGAGACATCGAAGCGACTTGTGGAAACGCCAACTCTTGTCTGGCGATCGTCTACGCGAAGTCCCGACCTGAGCATAAAGCGAAGAACGTTGCTCTCTGTCGCGTCCACGAAGCGCAAGTACTTGCCCCACGCTCCTTCCGCTTTCTGCGATTGCATACGACGAAATCCCGCACCTGCAAATGGCAGCACGGCCATACAGCCCTCTTTGGCCTTTGCGGTGAACGTGGTACATACTCAATCCCGTCCTTGGGCTCTAACCGCTCGGAGTGCCTCTCGGAAAGTGTTGCCGACGCTTCTTTTGCCTTTCGAAAACGACTAATGACTGCGTCGAGGATCACATCTACGCCTGGAAGGAGCCCTTGAAGATGTTCGTGCTGCGGGAGGGAAAACTGGAGCATGAGCGCAGCTCGACCCCGTGTCCTCGGATACCTTTCCGGATTCAAGGCGTGAACGAAGGGCCCTTTCCGTCGGTCTAGACGGACGCTAGGGAAAGGGGGGTTCAATGGAGGTGACGGGTCCAAAGCTGGATTCGTGGCCGGCTGTATGGCTCGTAGACTATAGAAGACAGGGTGACGAGGACAATGTCATCTGCCATGAAGCTCTCGCTCTTGCTTGACATAACCTTGGTGTACGATAGTGATCGGGCTTCCAAAACCAACGTTGCAGTTCACAGTGTGGCTCATCATTTCCGCTAGCTGTTCCTGCTCATCGTTCCTCCAACCTCGGCTCAGGATCGTATCGCCTACTTCTATCATTCAAGGTTCAATATTCAGCTGAGCACCCTCACGCGCTTCTGTTCTCAACCACAATCATGGTGTCTTGGAAGGATCTCCCCCTGCTTCTTCGCTAAATCCCCACCGCACGTTTCTCCAATTATACTCGGATACTCACCCTCCGCAACTTCGAGAACGTATAAAGCTTCCAGTGTCTCTGAGATAACTCACATCGCCTCTCTAAGACCAGCGTTATCATTGCATCATGCCGGACTACAAACCTCTCATCGTCGACGACGTCCAGCACGCCATCACTGCTGTGAACGACATTGTCATTGCTCTCCAGCGCGATGCGCCGTTGACCTCCGACCTCGTCGAGGTGAACTACTCCAAACCCACAGTCGACAGCTTCCACCAGTCCAGTCAAGCTGTCGTAAACGTAACTATTATGTCTATATATCCCCGTTCCGCCAGCCAACGTTCATCTTCGCTTTTTCCAGAATATCCGGGCCGCCTCAGACAAGGCGTCCCAGTGGCTCTCGGAGACCGGCGACCAGCTCTCGCGCAATCTCGAGGAGTCCCACCGTGTGGAGGCCTCGGTGAGGGAGACGTCCTCCCAGCTCGCGCAGACGAACCAGCACGTCGCTGCTACTCAGAATCACATCGATGCTCTCAACGCCGAGATCAACAACGCCAACGCCCACCTTTCCAACACCCACCGCGCTTTGTCCGACGCGCAGGATAGACTCGACAGGCGCAAGCGGGAACAAAGGGCCGTACGCATCGGAGTAAGCATCTAACCCGCTTCAGAGCGCCATCTGAGCTCCTGCTTACGGCCGATACTCGCAGGCCGCAGCGTCGCTCTTCTTTGCTCCGATCGTTGCCATAGGCCTCGTAGCTCTAGATCTCGGCCCGATGGAAGACGCAGTCAACTCCCAGCGAGGTGCCGTACGCGCGGCCGAGAACCAACTCGCGTCCCTTCACCAGCAGCTCCAGTCGCAACAGACGGCGCTTTTGAACGAGCAGAGCCGCAGCCAGGCCCTCTCCAACCAGGTGGCGCAGCTGCAGCAGCGCGCACAGGGTCTGAAGGCCGAGGTCGCGCGGCTCAGCGACGCGCGAGCGAAATTGGCGGAGTTGTCTGCGAACATCAACAACTGCCTGCACGCCGTCGACGCGGCGCTGAGCAGCTCCGTGACGATCACCTCCATGGGCTCGATGCGCAACGTCGTCACCGGTATCAAGGGAATCGCGACCGGGCTCAGCTCGGATGGGATGTTCGCGGGTCCTGTCGCCCAGCTGAACGACGCTGCCTTCGGAGCCCTGGATCGTCGCGTGACTGCGATTGTGCATCACAGGCTGACCTTCTAAGTCGCTAGTTGATAGCCTGTAGTACTCTGCGCGGAATGTTGAACGGCCTGTCTCTTTTTCGACCCGACTTACCTCTGTACTCTAGCTAGGTTTACCGATACGTTTGTCTAGGTGGCTCTTTGACAGTGATCCTACTTGTTGTGTAACAGTACGCGCTCAGATTCTTTACCGTCCCATTCAGCCCTGTGAAACATTTCTCGCTTTCAATACGGTCAAGGTTGGCGCAGTAATGTTCTGTGGTTGAGAGTTCGGCCGCTGAGCAGCTTCCTCCCGGGAGCAGTGAGGACTCCACTGCCCTTCTTGACAGTGCCCTGTAGATCTGCGACCCCATATATGTAAACTTGCGTTCACATGGCCAAGCCATCTGGTAGTCGGATGACAACGCGCACCAGGCGCACCAACGAAGAACTAGCTGATCGAGTCTATCTCCCGTTCATTTTGACCACCATGCATGTACAACACGGACCTCGTGACACAGCTTCCTACTGCACACCTCATTCATCTCCGTGTTCGTTCTTGACTTCTGTGTCTGCGTAACCATTAGGCCCGGACACCGAGGTCTGAGGAATTAAAAGACACCCCAGCTCCCATCCCTCACGTCCAGGCGACCTGCGTCCTCTTCTTCCAGCACAAGCACAATGTCCACCGTCCAGGACTTCAATAATCGTATCGCCGAAACACACTCGGGAAGGACAGAAATTCAAGATTTCGTCTTGAAGTTAGTAGGCTGGCATATGACGCGTCAATCGGTTCCGCGGCTGATGCAAGTGGACCTCAGGACATCGTATGCGTTCCCCTCTGCGGATGTATTGCTTCCTGCGCCGATGGCCGTTTCTATCCTCGGTCTGTATATGGATTTCTTGGAAATATGTGACTCCCGAAAAAGACTGATCGTTATGATTGAAACAGGGCAACTCACCCTTGTTGCCACTGCGACCGACTTCAAACTCGTGAAGCCCGCAGATGGATTCAAACACGTCCGCTATCCGGACAGCTTTCGCGCCACGATCACGCAGCTCGTCAACTCCGGTGCACTCGCTCTCAACCGCTCCTTCGTTAACTTCGACGAGATCAACAAGCGATGCGCCGCTATCCGGCCTGGTGTCAACAACATCGTGCAGCTCCTCGTAGGACACCCTGACAACACCGCTCGCGAGAACGAGCAGGCGATTGAGAGATACCTCCCCAATCAGATCAATTCGCTGAGCAGAACGGTAGAAGCATGCCTGGAGAAGGCAAAGGAAACGGATCGTGTCTTCAATCAACTGCTCGAGCTCACGATGGAGATTCACGAAGCATGCACTGCGACGCAGGGTAAGTCCTCAGTTGAGCTTATGGGAATAAACAACTCAACTCGGTATGTTCGTAGGATACAACGAGAGTCGCATTCGCGAGGCGGAACTGCGCAAGGCCTTTCTAGCCAAGGAGCAAGAGGCAGCAGAAGAGATGAAACGGATTGGTGAGGATGCGGTGAAGCAAGCACGTGAAGACTATGCCAAGTCGCAAACCTTGTTCAACCAAGCCGTCAAGTCCATGCCCACAGGTACGAGGATACATCTCCTGGAAGCATACGCCATTCTGACTTTTTATGACCTCAGCCGGACAGATTGCTGGCCTCAACTTGCTCGATATGGGCCAGGTCTGTCTCACGGCGTTGATCAGGAGGCAAGGAGCAACTGATGTTCCTATGTTATGCACAGGGAATCTTGCACGCCGTGACGTTCGGGGCCGTCAGACGGCCAGGAGCATCGAGCGGTGGCACCACATCAGGGCAGCCTCCCCCTCAACAGCGAGTCACCCCGTATGATCCCGGGTTTCAGAAGGCCTCTATGCTCCGCGAGCTCGCAGAGTCGCTGCACATATTGCTGACTTGTGGACCGAATAGCACCCCTAGCTGGAATGCCGTGAAGGCGTCCGATGGCACTGGGTGCATAGACATCAGGGTCAAGTTCGAGGAAGTGTTAGCCAGTATCAAGCGGGGCGACCCGAAGAACGGTCGTGCCACTGCCAAGGCAGCAACCTTAGCAGAAAGGGGCATCGAGGTCAGTCATGAGGTTCGGACACCGTGATACTCTGCGTGTCAAGCACCCCTCCACAGTACTCCAAAAAACTTGAAGACATCGTCCCTCCTGGAGATGAGATGCAAATCGCGCGCCTCACAGGTGCGGTGTCCGCATGGCGCGACAGCGTCCTGGCGTTCGCAAGCGAAGCGGACCTGCACAGCGCGTCATCTCCCATAAGCTCGAGCGTCCAAGCTTTCATTCCGGCACCCAATATGGGAGGCGGTAGTAGTGCGGAGCTCGCGGTCCGCGGCGCACAGTACAACTTAGCGGTGACAAGCGCCCAGCTCAACGCGAGCAGGGAGAACTCGAGGTTTACTTCCGAAAAGCTCATGCAAGTGACGGGTCAGCTCGGCGACATCATGGCGCAGGTCGTCAAGATCGACATCAAGAAACAAAATGTGAGCTTCGGATTAATATTGCATGCGTTGTTTCACGTACTAGATGATGTTGGCTAGTGGGAAGAGATCATGGCAATCCTCTTGAAGGCGATCGACTTCCTTTGCGAGCTGAAGCGGTACCTCAACAACCTCGTTCATTTTTTCAATTCTGTCAACAATCTCGTCTGCATCTCAATGCGCGAAGCGGCGGATGCTTTCATCTCCATAGTGAAGGACGCGGCGAGGATCGAAGATAGTGCCGGCCACAACCATGAGCGAGGCACACGACAGATTGGCGGGGTCACCTTGGATGCTTGGGCGCGACAGGTGCGGTTACAGATCGCCACATTTCGAGCTTGGAGATATTGGCTGATTTCGACACGACTTCCGACAGGCGATATATAACCACGCACTTTCTGTAGCCAAGATCAGCAAGGTCGTGGAGAACATCAGCGACGTGAGCACTCACTTCAGTCCGTCAGTCAAGTCGAACAACAAACGAAATTTTACGTCTGTCTAGATGTACGTGACTCTTTACGACGGCAACGTCCACCCAGGCGTCAACATGCTCCTCGGCATGGGCAAGTTAGTCGGTTCCAAGGACCAAGCCGCCATTGCGGCCGCAGGAACGGAGATCCAAGGCTGGGCCCAAGGCGCCAGCGACCGTATCATACAGCTCGTCAGCGAGGTAAGTGAGAGACGTAGACGCTTTCGCTTGAATCCTTGGGAGAGCCTCTGACGTCTCTATAGCGTGCGCAGGCCAATGAGCGGGACATCGAGAAGCGGATTGCAGAACTTGAGAAGTCGCTAGGAGGTATCTTGCCACGGTCATCGAGGATTGAGGAGATCGTACGCACCGTAGAGAAGGAAGAGGTCAAGAAGACGGGGCAAGAATTAGTGGCAACTATCGAAGAGAGGCCGGTGTACAAGAGGATGAACCCTTTTCTGTAGACATCGTCTTCACAATATCGCATCCACTTTCGCAGCCGTGATTGCTGAGCGTACCCGTTGTAAATTGTTTTTGACAAGATCGCTATGACACGAACAATTGTATACACATGCTTCTTTGATTCCTGCTGGCGGACACATCCCATACGTGAGAAGCTTGGCATGAACGCACACTAGTGGGGAGATATCTCACCTTCCCTCAGACAAAGACGTCAACACTGACCATAAGCAGGAGCGTGCACGACGTTATTTCGCTGTGGAGAAACAGCCATGAGCGTCTCCCCGACGTACCTGTCGCGCAAAAGGCCCATAAGCGTCAGAAGTCGGACAAAGCGAATCAGCAAGTAATCCGCATAGATCGGTCTAGTAAGCAAACTCTATTAATGGGCGCAGTGATAGGTAGATGATGCACTATATCTGAAGATCCGGGGAAGGCAAAGGTAGATCGGGATAGATGATGGGAAGTATAGGGTGTCGCAGCGGATAGAGGAGCATGATGTTAGTACAGATGCGTGGAGATGCCGGGGATAGGGTCAGATGATGAGAGTCAACCATGCAACCCCAGGAATACAGGTCAAGGAGAAGGGGGGGGGGGAAGCGGAGTGTAAAGGTACAGGAGACGACACGGGCTGAAATGTTGAAACGGCGGTAACAACACGACAACCCAAGTGACCTCCTTAGTCCACACGGAAATCAAGCGGGACAAGGATACCGAGACAGCGGAGATGCGGACCAGGGTGCGGGGCGGTATACGAGGAGCACAGAAGACGAGGCAGGATAGCAATAGGAATAGAAATGAGACTGGTCAGGGAGGCACGTAAGCGATATGCAAAAAATGGTAGCGAGACACCAGGCCAGTAAGTGAACGCTAACAGAAACTCATCTGCGTAAAAATATCGTGAGAGTCCACCAACGACTACTCGCCGGAAATCCAAAGCAATACAGGGTCATCCGGTAGGCATACAACAGCTCACCGTTCGGGCGTAATAGTCGTATCCGTTGCTTCATGTATGTGCCGTGGCTCAATTCGGGGGGTTGATGGAGCCGTCAGAACCACAGGGGTCTGCACTGCACTCTCATACGCATCGTCGTCACGGCCAGGCAGGTCGAACTGAGACTCGTTAGGGGTCGCTGAGTGCAGCGACTCCTCGGCGGTGGCATAGGACATGTAGGAGCTCGCCCGTGATGCCGCACGTGCCAGGAACGAGTTGTCGGTAGGTGTCGTAGCCAAGACACCCTTAAAGGCGGACGGGGGTGCCTTGGACGTGGATGCCGAATCAGGCAGGATGGTCAGTCCAGGTTTGCTCGACGACGAGGGGGGGGATGCGGGCCTAGACGAAAGAGAAGCAGTATGTGATGACACCACAGGTATGGGCTCAGGCGACGATGATGCTGCCCGGGACGCAGCTGCGACATCTGCCGGACTGGGCGGCGGAGGAATCGGAGAACGCTCAATTGCGTTATCCGGCTTATCCGCAGCCACTGGACTCTCCGTTTCTGCGATCTCCGAAAGCACATGCCGTTCCGACGAGGCCTCTGGAGCCTGAGCTTGAGCCTCTGCAGGTGATGAATCGGTGTTTGCCCGACTCGCATCCGCGTCGTCTTCGTGAGATCCAGATCCAGATCCAGAACTTGGAGAGGTCCGGCCCTCCTCGAGCACAGCCGCAGACGACGAGTCAGCACCGTTACCACCGCCACTTCCGCTGCCCGCGATCTCCTCGAACCCAGGCGGCGGCTCCAAGTCAACCCTGGACGTCGACGCATACGCGATCGCGTCCGCGCCATACGGCCTCCCGAACCGCGCAAAGCTCTCGCGGCTCGAGATGAGGCGGAGCTGATCTGGGGTCGGCCCGTTCTTCGGGTACGTGAATTCGGTCTTGACGAGCGTGTGGGTGAGCGGGGACGAGATCGAGTGCAGACTGATCATCGACGGAGACGTGAGCGCGTCCGCAAGGTTCCCGTTCGAGCGCGTGCGCGAGAGCAAGCTGAACATCGAGCCTGAGCCCGAATGCGACGGGCGGTGGTTCATGACGCGACTGCGGCGGGCTTCTCGCTCGGACGACACGGAGGGGTGAGAGCCTTCGCGTGTGTGACCGGTACTGCTCCTGGGTTCAGGAGAGGAAGCCTGAGGCATGGGCGACGATGACGCCGGGACCGCGGAGGCAAGGCGGGAGTTGCGTGGGTTGAATATCGCCGCAAAGACAGACCGGCGACGTGCCGTTCCATGTCCAGCCTGCTGGTCTGTCGCCGTCCGTTCATGAGCTGGACTTGGCACGCGGTTCGCCTGATTCGTTGGGGCAGTAGAATGAGGCAGAGGATCATCGAGGACGACAGTCTCGTATGCCGGTGCTGCGTCGAGGTAGTGGTGAGAGCTGTCATCTGCAGAGCTCACGCCACTGTCGAAGCTCGCACGAGTACCAATAATACGGCCATCCACGGTCAGGTTCTGTTGCGACTCATGTTCGCCATTGCGGAGTAAAGGTTGGTCATTCGCGGTGGGCGGTATGGGCGAGTACATTGATGATGGCGCCGTCAGGTCGAAGGAACCTCGCGGTGTCTCATCCGCTTGCTCGTCGAGCGGAGGCATCTCTACCGTTATCGGGATGTCGTCGTGCAAGTCCTGCGAGCTCCTGTGATTTCCTGTATTAGCATTGTGCATCTACCGTACACATTCATCCCGCCCCTTCAGATGGATGAGCACACAACAGAAGGCCAGAAGATGCAGCTTATGGACAACCCTGCCGGCGTGCTGCTATCTCGAGGTGACGTTCTGTGTGGAAAACCATCATCGCTCTTACTATATTGGGAAATAAAGGGCCAATCACGCCAGTATCATCCACAGACGAGCGATGTGAACGCCACAGGACTGGCCGTAGGGATACTGAATGCGACGATCAACTGAGAATGAGACACAGTCGGGTCGTACAACAAAGTCGCCACGCAAAGCGCACCGCCGAATTCCGCAGCTAGCGACGATGTCAGCTTCGCGAAGCTGCATTTGACTACGCACACCCAGCATGGTTCCACGGCGAGACACAGGGACCCGGGGGACAGATAGTAGCAACAGAACACCAGATAATGACAGCTCACCTCACGATTACGATCTCCTCGTCGCCCGGCTCCTTCATGTACGCCGGCAATGAGTGTGTTGAGATCTGACTGGGCGTCCTCCGCGTCCGCCTCGGCCTCCTCGCCCTGTTTGTCCCACCATTCACCCCTGCCGTTGTGCCGTTCCCGCCTGCGAGCTGATCCGCGGTGACCTCGCGCGTCGCAGGCACCGCAGTGCTTGTCATGACCCCCGCGGCCTGTGCAACGCCGCTCAAACCTTGCAGGGCACCCCGACGGTACCTACGGCCCCAGCAGGCGAAGATGGTACCCATGACGAAGAGAGAGGCGACGACGACGAGGGGAATCTGTGAAGGCCACCGGGTGTACGATAAGCAACGGGTGTCACCAGCCAGCATATTGAGAAACGGCACATGAGCATGACAAGAGCTGGGAGATCTACGCACCCATATTTGCTTCTGAATGGAGCGGGATGGGCTGGACGAGCCTTCACCGCTCTGCCGTCGCTGTAGGACAGGTTGAGGGGCAGCGAGGACGAACGGTACACTACCGGTGCATGATGAGGTCACGAGTACCAGGAGTGAATTCAGACGGTACATGTGGCCGTGACGAGCGGTGCTGCCGGATCAGGTCGTGTGGGTCGTCAGTGCTGGTCGCCAGCGAGGCGTGCAGGAGGAGGGCCGAGGAGGACGTCCGTGCGGTAGATATAGAGCAAAACAAGACTTGAAAGGAAGGGGGAGCGGGGAAGGCGGAAGAGAGCCTGGGAGGGAATAGGGAGGCGCTAGTAGGGCGGCGTGACACATCCTGCTTCAGTCAAGCTTCCCCTGAGCGATGCTGATATTTCCGCCCTCGCCGACCTGCCCACTTGACGTTTGTTCCGGACAAAGTGTCGCCAGAGGAAGATGCACTGCCGTGGCGTAGTGGAACAATTGAAGCTCGCTGTAAAGGCAGGCGACGGTCCATTTCGATGAGCAGACAGCTCGAGCTTTGGACACACCAATGTTGCGCGCCACTCATAATGTTGTCTGAGAACGTGCGTCCAATTTGTACCTATCTGCCACCGCGACTTGATGAAACCAGCCCAGAGACATACGTGGGTATCGACTAGAGAACGACGTGCGGGGACTAACGTTTGCGCTCGATGGCGAAGGCACACTATCATCAACTGTCGTCCGGTCCGTCGACTTCCAGGGCAATTAATTACACCCGACAAGAGTCCTCATTCAGTCTACGTGATGCAGATGTGATGCCGAGATAAGTGGTGCAAGCTGCAGCGAATGCAGCACTGAAGAGGTACTTATTCCTCGAATTACCTCTGAAATCAACAGCTTCCTACCGGTCCAGTGCCGGGCACCGTCGTTGCCGGAGACTTGCTGTGCAAACCTTCCAAACCACACGAGGGCATTTGTCAAACGTGCGCCCAAGAATCGTCAATGCCATACCGACGCCCCTTCATTATAGAAGGAGACTTCGAACAGTACCATCGACAGCAGGAGCAACTCGGACTGCGAACACCACGCTATAAAAGAACCTACACAGTCAACCGCGAACGCCTGATCGCCGCAACCCTCCCGTCAAGCACCCCGAACGCAGCATCGTTCAGCAGGGCCAAGGGCCCCACGAACATCTCAACCCTCCTCAGGCCGTCCACGACTCCCCTGATTCCCGCCACGACGTTCCGCATCGAGCAAATCGTCGCGATGGTGGCCGAGCTGCTCAACGCCGCGTTGACCGCGTGCAAGCACTCGTTGATGCGCGTCGACAACTCCGCCAGTAAACGCTGCGCCGCCCGGAGCGTGCGCGCCTCAGCCGCGAGCTGCTTTCCGCGCGTCCGTAGCTCGGCAACTTTCGAGATTAGGCGTGCGCACTCGGCGCGCTCGCGGGCGAGGACGCCACGCTGCGAACCCAGGCGCTCCCTGGCGGCGCCCAGCTCGCGGTTGCGCGCGCGGACGACCTCGTTGTCGACAGTCTGTGGCATCACCGCTATGCTGATCGCGGCTGCCGCCAGGCCGAGCGGGGGGACAAATATGGACAAAATCATAGCCTATCGCGGTGGGCAGTCTCTTGTCAGCCAGATTTATCCTAGGTATCGAACTCACTCCTAGGCGGATGCCTGCATGGACGGCCATATGTTCTTGCACCATCCTCTCCCTGGTTCTTCGGGCATCCTCAAGCGCGGACTGAGTAGACTCAAGGCTGTCTTGGGCGTGGCTCACGTTATACTCGGAGGTGTGGATGTTGATCTCGGTAGCTCTGACTCGCACCTCGGCCTCCCCGACTTGAGAAGAGGTCTCGCGAGCGCCGTCCTCGACCCGGCGGGCCTCGTCGAGGTTCTGACAGAGGCGGTATCCTGTGTCACCCAGCCAAGTTCGGGCTCTGTTCGACGCTGACAGCATGCTCTACGGGAGAGACACGGGTAGGAACGCAAGTTACTAGTCATTCGGTGGGAGCACGTACATCCCCGACGGCCTGGCTGTGTTTGAGGAACTCATCCACTGTGGCCTGGGGGTAGTTGATCTGACTTATATCCGAGGAGAGCGGGGCGTCGCGCTCGAGCGAGGCGACGATGTTGTTCACGGCCGTGATGGACCGCCGGACGTCTTCTACGATCATATGTCTGTAGTCTACCATCCTGGCCTGTGAGGAGGGGGGATGCTGCAGAAGAGACGTACGGGAGTATCTCAATATAACGGAAGAGAAATGGGACTGTGGGCACACCGCTGACACCCCACGCACGCATGGTGGTCGAGCCCGCAGGATACGTCCGATGAATAGATAGAAGCACGAACACGTTGAACTAAACCCCATACACCATACACTCCACATAAGTGACTCTGCAGGTGAACAGGGATTGTACGCGGAAATGAGGACGAGCCTATGGTGAGAAGGTGGAATCTGAGTTCTATCTGTGATCCTGGCCAGCGGTGTTTCGGTAGCTTCTACAACAGAACATGCATTGTGTGTCGAATCACATCTGTGAGGCTGTACTGCAATACATATACGCATGTCGCTATCACTATCGGTGAACTTCACTGGAGGTTCACGCTGTCTCTGCCTGAGCGCGACGGTAGTACGGTCGTTGAGTAGCTGCAACCATCCCAGCATCACGGACGTTCAGTCGGACAAACTTTGAGGTAGCAACTCGAGCTCACCTGGCAGAGGCTCAGGCGCTACAGAATCAGTACCTGCAGGCCTGACCCTCCGGCCGGACCCGGGACTCGGATGGGTCCGCGGATCGTCCTACGCGGCGCTCGGGCCCTTGGTATCTAAGCTTCCGTGTTCAAGGTCGTTCATTAGTATGCCTTAGCGGGGATATCCTGCCAGTGACAGAGGCGGTCAGCACAATACTTGTAGACTCGGAGGGGGCCCGTTCTACTAGGACGCCGGGTGCCGCCACTCTGTAGCGAGATCTCAGACATATAGCTACCATCGAAAGTTGGTTAGCATCACTTTTCCGCGAACAGAACGCACGGGAAGCACATCAAATCGAGAATCATGCATGCATTATTGTACGATGACATCAAGGCGAGATGACAGGAGTAAGGAACGACACGACAGGCAAACGATGCAAGTATAACAGTGAAACGAGTGATGTGGACAGCATGAGCACGAGATAGAAATGAGCGTGGAGAACGTCAGCTTAAAGGAGGAGGGGCGAAAGGCGGACAGAGACAGTATGTTTGAGAAGAATGACCTTAGGAGGATGCTAGCAGCATCGCCCACCTTGCGGCTGAAGCGCGGAGGGTGGTGTGAATGAGACGAACGCGCGACAAGCTGCCCAACTCGTTGCAGGCTTGCCGCCAGCTTACAATTCGTCGATGTCGCCGTCGTCGCGTTGCCCCGCGGGTGGCACAGGCGCACCGGAGAGAGCTTTCAGCCGCTTGCTGAAGCGAGATGGCTTGGTGTCGCTCTTGCGCTTCGCGTTTGCATCTGTAGCTGCCGGCTGGTTCGCCGTCACTTGCTCACGAGATTGTGCGGATAGTTGTGACGGTCCGCCAACAGCAGCGGTATTATGCGTACTGCCCTTGCGATTGGCGGCATGCCTTGAACCCTTACCACGCCCCCGATTGCGGCTAGCAGCCGAACCACGTCCTGCTCCAACCCGACCTCTAGTGTGCCCTGCCACACCGGTAGCTTGCGTCCCCGAAAGCCGAGTTGGGATTGGGGTGCTCCCCTGGTGGGCTGAAAGAGGTTCAGTAGGGCGTGGACGCTCCGGATCTAATTCGATGGGAGTGTCGCGATGTTCGACCAGATATTGCAGGATGAGGCGCTGTACAGCTTCATGTAGGTGATCACGCTCGAGTCTGCCTTCCCACAGGGCGTACTCTGAACGAACATGTTGCGATATTCGAGACATGAGCACGGCGACGTCATGCATGTCTGGCCAAAAGAGACGAAGCCACTTCGGCCTTCTGCCGTTGATGATGCTCTCACGTGTTTCTTCTGCATATTCGCGATCCGGGATGTGATGCGAAAGGAGAATTTTCCATACGTCGGCGCTATCGGGATTCGCATAGTCCTCTCTTGGAGCTGTGACTGGCTGAGCGCGGAGGAGAGCGTACACCATAGTCCAGTATACGGACTCCACGTCATGTTCCGGTCGATGAACAAAGGCGGCTAAGTTTGGTACTTCGTCGATGTCGTCAGGATTTGTGGTAGGAGGGCGGCCGCCGTGGCATTCGGGGGCTCCAGGCTGGTCGTTGTACCGATCATACCGCTCCCGTCCATGTACAGCAATGTACAGGTTCAGAGCGTCATCAGTGAGCCTTGGCATGGGCGTTCCTCGCAACGAATCTGTGGCGGTGATTAATCTTCCAAGACTGACGCTTCGTGCAATGAACAAAGGTGTCCCCTAAGAGTATGTCACGTCAGACCGAGTAGGCAAGAAGTAGGCCGTCGAGACATACCGTGCGATCATTCAGTTCGCCGCTCTTGGAATCCAACTTAGCAGCATTGTCGTAGTCGATGACTAGGCATGTAGGAAACCGTTCTTCCGCGGGCCTGCACGATGGTCATCAATTTGATCGACTCCTTACTGCGTGGGACCAGCTTACCTCTTGCTTCCACGGAGCACGTCCTGGATCGACACAGGCGTCTTCTCGGAGACAGGTCTTCCACTCACTCGGCCCCACTTTGGGTACATCAGGATGTTATACAGGCTCATGTCCCGGTGCAGGACTTTGCGCTCCAGCAGCACAGTGCGGTGAACTGCCAGATACAGGTGAGGGCTGCGAATACACTTCATCAAGAAATTTGCGTACCTTCCAACGCATCGTATACCGCCTCCAATAGATCATTCACTGTCCTCGCATCCAGAAGACGGGAGCCGGAATCGAGCAGTGCGAACCGCTCTTTCGTCCGCTTGGTCTCTTCACCGCTCGCAGCGCACTCGATCGTCTCGTTATTGGTCGTGACGTGTTCCGCACCCTGAAGGCGCACAACTCCCAGCACGTCGCCGTCGCCGTGAACGTGGGCCAAGATCACTTCCTCCTTGAACCGACGCTTGTGGTGACGATATACCTCCTTGATCACAATCTCCCCACCATCGGCGTCGCTGACCCGGAGGATCGTAGTACGACCTATGAAAATAAACTGACCCTGGGTGTACCACTGGTCCTGGACCTTGACCTTCCATGTCGGCGGATGGTCCAGAGTCGCTCCGGGAACCCATGCAATCGTGTCGTCCCACAGGAAGTGGCCGCGAGGAGGGTCGTAATGGGAGTAGATGTAGGCAGCTAGCAGGCGCAGGTCATCGTGATCCCAGGGAGTCTCAGGGGACGCCACTACCCCGGTCGGGTCAGAGAGAAGCACCTGGTACCACTGAGGCTTCACGACCAGACAGTAGAAAGCGGGGTGGTCGGGACGCGCTTGATGGTGACGATACGCGTATGTCGTGGCCTGACGACGACCGCCGGACTTCGCTATGGGCTTGGCCTCCACGATGGCCTCGACACGGTGATGCGGGACCCCTTTGTAGATGCCATCTGCGTCAGCACGAAAATCTCCAACGTTATATACACCAAGAAGATCAGGTGCGTCCTTGACATGGCAGAGGACATCCGAGGGAAAGTGGAGAGGTGCAGACGAGGAGTGGTTGATGAACGACATGTGTCCAGATTTGCCAGCAGGAACGCGGTGTCTTTGGCGCAAATTCTCCTGCACATCTGTGGCAAGGGTTTCTGAAGATGCGTCAGATGTAGAAAGAGGAAGGGAGAAGACGTCGTGACGAACTGTATAACGCTTTGCTCATGCTGGTCAAGAGAGAAGCAAGTGGCTTATACATGTTCTTCTCTATAGTTCCGGCGCTTCGAATATCTTTGATTTTCTTGAGCATCGTCTTGGTGGCGTGAAACGTCGGCGGAGAGCGTAGGTGAATGGCTATGAAGTTGACGTCGACGTCGCTGTTGTTCGCTTCCAGACGATCTGCGATGGCCTGACGGTTAGTCGGGGGAGGATGGCCAGGACGTTTCACAGGAGAGAGTTCATTCTGCTTATACGTACCGTAGCTCCCAGCGGTCTCAGACTGTCCACGGCCCTCGTGGTTCACCTCGACCTCCTCCGGTGGAGGAGTTCGAGGGACACTCGGATGCTCAATGGACGACATGGGACTGTGTGAGCTGGAAATCACAGCAGTCATCTTCTTGCTATATATGTGTGTGTTCTTCAAGTTTCCCAAATGGTCACACAAAGAGTGTAGAGTAGGCTGTGGCTGATGGGTGAAGTGGTTATGGTAGTGGTGAAGCGCCAAGTTCACTTTCGGGCAACAGGCGCGCTGGGCACAAATGGGCGCTTGTTGTTCCTTTGTTCAATGATCAAGGCTTCAAGCGACTTCCGACCGCCTTGGCTTGCATGAACCCCACCGCCATCAGATCTGTAGATAACTTAATGGCGTTGTGCACCTAGAGCTTATTCTGTCCTCACGGCGACCCTCAGGTTTCACATTGGGCCCATACAAATGAGCGCTATCGCAAACCATGATCTTCTTTGATCCAGGCCCAGTCAAGCTGACTCGTATATGAATGGCGCTGCGCTCAGCCCATGGCGAAAGAAGTTGATGGCATGGCTCTGGCCAAGAGGCCCAATGCGCATCCTATTGTTCACTAATTCATGCTGTAACGCAGCGATTGGGCCCCTCGAGACGCGGCCACGGCACAGTGTAACCATGCCCGGTGGCATACTGCCATAAGCGGGTGAGATACTACGGCAGGTCGTCAAAGCTGAGTGGAGGTCTCCTTGGCAAAGGAAGATGTCGGAGTGCCAACCTTCTTTGTCCTTTTGAGGGAACCCTCAACGTGTCCTTGAGTCGTCCGAGCTTTCTTGGAACCCTCTCGCCTCGTGTTGCTGGCATCACAAAGCTCAGCAGCTACGATTTCGGGAATCAAACAGTATATCAGTCGCGAAGACATCAATGACGCTATGCATACTAGGCCAGCTCAGGCCCATATTTTGAAGTATATCGAGACCGTGGTTCTGTCAGATCGGTGCAAGAGATTGCAACTCCATATAGTATACCCTTGACTAATCTTCCTGTACACCTGTGATTTACGGATAGAAAGCGCAGTCCTTCTCCATGAATTCGCGTTGGCACCACGAGCGTATATTCGTACAAAACAAAGGGTCGGAGAAGACATGACGTACTCTCGATGGGGACTTGGCTGAAACAGTGTTTAACTAGACACGTGGGGTCTGCCATGCACTTTGGATAAACGATGTATCTCATAAAGAGCCCCATTAAGCTATAGAACATGCTCAAAGCGGCCCAGAATGAATCCGTACCGATACGGTCGGTCCTCTGCGCCGCCTTAGCTTAGCTTAGCTTTCGGTGGCATACGGACAATCAGTGTTGACGGTGGTGACGTGCTGATTAGTAGTTGCTAAGAGGATTGTGAGATCATTCAGAGCCGCTGTTCGGGACGCCAAGCATCGGGGTGTGGGTTGTACACGCAGATGATTGGGGTCAAGCTCGATAGGATCGTCGCGATAGTCGAACAGATGTTGCAGGATGAGGCGCCGTACGGTGGTTAGGGTCGGGGTCGCCCTGCCACATAGCGTACTAAGAACATTTTCCATAGGAGCATGGCGATGTTTGGGCGTGTCTGTGCAGAAGAGTTCACGGTTGGCCCGTCGATTACGCCACCACGTCTTTCATCTAGCAGAGTGGACCGCGAGTTATGTGAGAAGAGAATCCTCGGCACTGAAGCACCAGGGCGCGGACGCATAAGCTCCTCGTGGAGCTCCGGCAGTCTGAGCACGGAGAAGAGCGTACATCATAGCCGGTACACCGATTCGATGTCGTGGTCGTCTGGGTTCATCGTCAGAGTGAGAGTATGGCTACCGTGGCAAAGGAGAGGCACGAGATCAACGGTTGATCACGATCGTAACGTTGTCGTACCCGACAAATGCCACTGGGAAAGAACAGGCAGTCCTCTCGACCGCGGCTGGCCGTTGTTAGCAGCTTTTCCCCAGTCAGAAACGTTCCATCAAATTTGTCTTCATCCGAGACGACATCCCAAAAGCGTCTATATAGTGCATATATAAACCTGGTCTGGAGTCCATCCGCCATCGGCATTGACATACAAACAGGTGAATGTGAAGGACTACGTCACGCACCTTGATATCCGCCTCTACCGCAGGGCCTCCAGCGCCCGACACGTCCAGGTCGTGCATCAATGCAGGCCTGAGGTCCACCTATCATGGTCGAACCGCCCGTGCAGACGGGTGACGACCTCGCGGTAGTCCGGCTCGTTGTCGGGCGTGATGATGCCCTTCCTCGCCATGGAGTCCATGAGCGCTTCCGGAGCGTGTGACCGCGTTGTAGGGTTCTGTTTGAGGACATCTGCAGAGCCAATACGAAGGGAATGTACCTGAAGCGCAGTTGTACTTGAAGACGCCGGTTCGAATATGCTCGATCACTACTGAGAGTGGAAGAAGCTTGGATGGCGTTCGGTGAGACGAGGGAACGTAGCGTGGCGAGCGGCACGCACCTCAAAGGACTCGACTTCGCCACCCAGCGGTTCAAGCTTCACGTACCTGCCACAAGACGTCACCCAGTACCGACGTACACTGCTGGAGCGCAAAATATGCTGCTCACTCAATTTTCGGCTGCAGCCACATCATCCCTCACCCGCTCGGGGCGGCGCATACATCCACACAGACCGCTCACCTGAAGAAGTAGCTGACGCTCCCCGCCGCCTTCGCGTGCCTCCTCACGACGTGCGCAGGGATGCTCACCTCCACCATCGACTCCTTCACCACGCAGTTGAAGACCTTCATGCCCACCTGGTAGCCTGGCCACGTCTACTTCGTCGCCACCCGCCTGGGCACCCATACATTGTGAGGAGGTATGACACCTCCAAGGGCTGTTAACACTCACTTATGCGAACCTCGTTGTAGTCTACGATCTCGCCGTCCGCAGCACGCACCTCCTCGTACACTGTCGTGTGTATGCCGTACGTGACGATGCCGGACAGCCCGCTCGCCGCGCGCTCCATCTCGACGCGTAATTGAGCGCTTCCGGAATAGTCGCACGGCCCGACTCGGAACGGGTTGCGGTAGACGGGTCCGTAGAGCTCCTTCATGTAGCACCGCCGAGGTCGTCGTCAAATTCACAGCGCAATACAACCGCGTCCTCGCTGACAAGGAGTTTGCGCCCGCTCCGCAGTGTCTGCACGAGTGCCGGAAGGTTTGAACTTCATCTTTAGCCTACACATGGCTGGATCGCGGTTCACGCAGAGTGAAACCCCCCCCCCCCCAAAGTTCATTTCTGGGACGCTCCTTAATCTCGTACCACCACCTGTGGCGACTTTCCCACGGTCGTAAGCCAATAGGAGCGGGCTACGACGTGCGGTCAGTTACTCTCTGGGCGACATACTAGCGTACAAAACATACTTTAAGAACAACATAGTGATAAAATGCCACCGGAACCTAACAGACGAGGTGCGACAGCATCGCCACTAGTTGCTACGCGAGCGAAGAAGACACCGGCTACCCATCCGACGGGTGCATCGTCTACCAGGCACCTCCGGTCGACATCCACGGAGTCCTTTGTAGAGGCATCGGAGAAGATCCAGTCGTTGGACGACGCCATGAAGATACTACGCAAACACCAGATGGTCCCTGCCGCAGGAGACCCCACAGCTGAGGGACTGGTCACAGGACTCCAACACGTAGGAGTGAGTCTCGGAAACGTTGCTTGGGCGTCC